TCAAAGTTATATATTTCAATAAAAAAATGGGCTAAATTTTAAGTTATAGGTGGTATAAATAATTATTAATGTTTAGGTGTATATGGTGTATCGTAAGCCCAATCCACATTATGTATTTATAAAATCCTTGTGAAAAATGAAGTAAAAAATGCTCATTAATGGTTTTAAAATAATATTTAATCAAATAAATAACGAAATCATTACCAAAATTAGGTAATGATAAGGACGACAAAATATCGAAACCTGTTTTATTGCCTGAGGAGTTAAAAAGTAAGTGATAGCAAGTATTATTAAATACGTTGTCAAACTTTATATCTCCAAAATGGTTCAAATCTCGCTTTTCTTTATTGTGATGAGTCAGTTTACATTAAAGTCTGTTTTTTTCCAGATTAAGCATTAATTAACCACTACTTTGACTAGAATGATTAAAATACGCATTTAGTGCTATACTAAAAAAATATTTTTTACAGGACAACGTGTATATTAAAAACTGTTAAAACTGCGATCGAGATGTGAGAATTGAAAAATATGCATATCATTAAAGTTCAGGTAAATTTTCTATTAAAGCAATGTATGTTTCGAATAGCAAATTTCCTCAAAAGATTTTTCAAATAATTACGAATTGTAAATTAATTCTAACTTCGTGCCCTTCGGTAATGTTTCTGAATCTTCTTCACTTTTGAACGTTCAATTGTTTAATTTCTACACTTAACGAATAGGTACCGTACTACATAGTACATAAACACTTAACTACATAGGTACCGTATCGATTATTCAAATAATTATTTTGACATTAGAATAAGCCAGCTGGAATCAGTTCAAACCATATACAGATCAGAAAATGGCAAGATATTGATTTTAATCAACTGATTGGAATCATTTTTCAAGAGAATAATTCTTTTAAGAATAATTTATGATCTTAAAGAGTTTCTTATAGATTGATTATTAGAGAAGTGCTATAAAAATCACATTTGAGTAACTTGATTGTAATAGTGATTGAAATCGCCCATGAGAATTAATTTATGTAAATTGAAAAAATTTTCATATTCGGCTTTGTTCAGTTTAGAATTGGGCTCTGAATCAGTTATTTTAGTTATCGAAGTGATTCCTCTATTCAAGTTATCACTTTGCAATGTTCGAGATTCTAATCTTAAATTTGAATCGTGGTTCTTATTCAAATGACATATGTGATTTTGTTCTTTCAACTCGAATCATTATATGTTTATTTTTTCCCGAAGCTTTAAAAAGACGAGGATTTTTTTCTATGTCTTAAAGTAATTTCTAATTACAGTACGAGCAAGATGACTGACTAATGATGAAACTACCATTTTGATCTATTCCAATATAGTGATTCATGATTCAAATCTTAAATTTGAATCGTGGTTCTTATTTAAAGGACACGCGTGATTTTGTTCTTTTAACTCGAATTATTATTTGTGTGTTTATTTTTCCAACGCTTTAAAGAAATAGGACAGGATTTTATAAGCTGTAATAAAAAAATTTTAGATTAGAGTACGTGCAAGATTACTGACAAACGATGAAATTACAATTTTAATATATTCGAATATAGTGATTCCAGATTCAAATATTAGATTTGAATCATGGTTCTTATTCAAATGACATATGGGATTTCGTTCGTTCAACTCGAATTAATTTATGTTTGTTTATCCGACGCTTCAAGGAAACGAAGATTCTTTTTTCTAAGTTTCAATGTAATTGTTTTTAGATTAGAGTACGAAAAAATTGACTGACAAAATGATGAAACTACCATTTTGATATATTCGAATATAGTGACTCGAATGACGAATTAGTGAATTCGAATATAATGAAATAGTTAAGCTCGAATTATTTATAATGATTTGTATTTCTCAACCCCTGAGAAAAAAAATAGTGAAGATGGGATTTTACTTGAAATTAAAATATGAGTCAGATGAGTGACAGGACAGATGACTGTTTGAGAATTAGTTATGTAGAAAAGAGTGCGGCTTTCTCTTCCTGCCTGTCACTCTTTCATTAATTTAATTTCCGAGTGAAGTGAAACTCATATAACTCACAACACGGTCATCTAACTTAACTGGGTTTTAATTCTTTCCTGTGCTTTCACATTAATTCATCGTCTGTGAAGAAGAATTATTTTAACTTCCATTTTTTCTCACTTCTAACTCATTCATTTTTTAATGAAACCATATAACACGATTAAATCAGAAATGAAGGCAACTTATTTAGTTTTTGAAAGAAGTGGAATTAAAGCGCAAGTGAAGACAAAACTCATTCAGTTTTGAATGAAGCAAAATAACGTGAATAAAGCACAAGTGAAAGCATAACTCCTTCACTTTTTAATGGAGCAAACAACGTAAATAAAGTGTGAGTGAATTCACAACTCATTCAGTTTTTGAGTGAATCAAACAGTGGAAATAAAGCACAAGTGAAAACAAAACTCATTCAGTTTTGAATGAAATAAAATAATGTGAATAAACCTCAAGTGAAAGCAAAACTCATTCATTTTTGAATGGAACAAACAACGTAAATAAAGTACGAGTGAATTCACAACTCATTCGTTTTTGAATGAAGCAAAACAACGTAAATAAAGCACAAGCGTAGATTCATTTTTGAATGAAGCAAAACAACGTGAATAAACCACAAGTGAAAGCAAAACTAATCCCTTTTTTTTAAAGGAGCGAACACAGTGAATGAATAAAATACAGGTGAAGTCAAAATTCAGCCGTTTTTTAATGAAGCAAAACAACGTTAATAAAGCTTAACTGAAGGTAAAAAACTCATTCATTTTTGAACGAAACCATGTAACATGAATAAATCACAAAGTTGGGAAACTCATTCACTTTTGAAAGAAGCAAAATAACGTAAATAAAGCAAAAGTTATTTGAAAAATCAATCAATTTTTGAATGAAGCAAAACAACGTGTATAAAGCACAAATGAAGGCACGCTTGTTTTATTATAGGTAACACTAGGTAGACCTTTTCTTCATTTGAATCATTCATTTATATTTCATAAATATTTCAAAAAATAAATAATATAATTATATATTTTTGCATTCTAATGACAAATGATGTTTAAACATTTTAAGCAAAAAATAAACTTTCCATAATGACAAAATTACTTTATGAATTTTTTTTGTTGTCAAATATACTGTATAAGAGATAAGAAGCGTTCCCAGAAACCATAGGGATTCATAGGGAGTGATAATATATATAAAATATAGAGCTTCAATAGAGAATATTGTTTATTAAAATTCCTATAATGCTTTTTTTATGTGAAAAGCATTTTAAATTGTGAAAAAGAATAAAGTTAAAATATTATTAGACACTATTAGACAACAAACACGCGCGTAAATAACAATTTTCTTAAGTAAATTTCATACAATACCATGAACATTTTTTTTCTTGAAAGTAAATCTAGGTTAACTTTCGACACGTCTTGAAATTTTCATCGCATAATAATAATCCCCATCAATGGTAAATATTTCTGTTATACTATTTTCCCTTCACTCAAATATACCCTGGGAAATTCAATTAATTTTACGCAATCCCGCAATATTTATATTTGTAAATAACAAACAAAATGAACTTTTGTTTTATAATCTACTTCAATTCAATCCAAAAGAAAAACGAATTTTGTAGCTAAGAATCTCATTTTGATGTTATAGAAACATTCTCCTTTTCCGCTTTTCCATTATTTCAATCGATACAGTACAACCTTGAACTCAAATCCTTTCGCTCCCACCCTTCCGCCCCGGTTTGTGTGTCCACTTCTCGTCTGCCGCATCCACTCCTCCCACGCACACTTCATCTCGGTGTTCTCGTTTGGAATGCTTTATTTTTTACTGATGGATAGCAAATCTAATTTGTTTTCACTGATCATATCTAACGATATTTTAAAACAATTTTATTTACTTATGAAGATTACGTTATCCCACCCTTTATTTATCATTATTTATGGATACATTGATTTTACAGGAATTTTCTTTTTAATCTCTTTTGGCATCTTTAATTTTTTTTCATTCTGCCTTCCCATGTTTGTTTACTCTTGTTATACTCAGCCAATTCTTTTAGCGAAGGGGCGTTTCTGAGAAGAAAAAAAAAACTAAAGCATAAAATATAGATCCTAATATCGTTAATAAAGCTGAGCAATTTATTGTAAAATATTTATATTTTTTAAATTACGCAATAATGGTATTTTATGATGTATTCGCATGAATTCCCTGCTTTAAGATAAATATGTAGCATAATAGTTGACCATGAAAAATATTGGATACGATAATATAACGAATATTGTCAGTAACGATGATTATCGAATACGAAAATATCGTGATAATTATTGATTACGTTATCGAATATGATAATATAGTCAGTAGTATAGACAACGATAAAATTACCAAATCAAATTACCATCCAAATTACCTTTGAGCATGGCGTAAAAACCATTTATTCGGTTAAATATACTTTTGATTTTTGTATTTTTTTACTAAATGTGTGGTAATAAGAACTATCATTTTGAAAACCAGGACTTTCGGTAAACCGTGACCATATGAACGAAAAAAATGACCAAATAAATGGTTTAATACCATAAATTTTGATTTTATTAACCGGAATTATAAGTTTTTTTTACCAGAATTATCATTAGCCTAAAGTAGGGTAAATTTAAGCAGATTTTTTTCCCGTATACATATGTATATAAAGAATACCCTATACATAAATGTTTATATAGGACGTCTCCACAACTAAGAGACAATTAGAAATCACAATTTTACAGAATTAATTTAATGAATATGAATAAAATTATTTTTATGTATTCACTTTTAGCACTAAGTTATTTCATGCATTGATACATATTTGCAAGGATTTTTTTTTGGCAAATATCCTTTTTATAATTAATTTAAAGCGTCAACTTATTTATTTAAATCAATTTGTATTGCATACTTGATGTTGTTGTATGTGTGAATCCAACTGTTTTTCAAATATGAATGATCTTGTGTTTTCAGATATTCAGGAGACAGCAATGCCTCTAGTGAAGTGGTTAACGAGGACGATTCATTCTACGTTAACATGACCACGGAAGACCTGCTGCAGCCGGGTCACGTCGTCAAAGAACGATGGAAAGTTGTAAGTCGCACTTATTTGTTTTAATAAACATTGTTAATTAATTAAAATCGATAAAATTTAATTAACTAAATTAATTAATTACAACTAACAATAAATTACAATTAATTAAAATCGATAAAATTTAATGAACTAAATTTATAAATTACAACTAACAATAAATTACAATTAATTAATTAATTAAAATTAATTCAATATATTTATTTAATTAATTCATTCTATTTATTTAAGTAATTAAAATTTTGAAAAATTAAATACAGTTAATATTTTTTTTCCGCCACAATTTTGTACGTGTATATGTCGGTCGTATTCCTTTTTAGAAACGATTCTTCATTACTTATTTATATGAAGAGTATGCTATTGTAGTCGGACTTGCGCTATAATGTACCATCTACGGACGCATCTTCACTATAAACAATAGTTCACCAAAGCAACAATACTTCACTATAAACAAAATTTGTGAAAAAATATTTCTTTAGCATATTGCAGTAGTATTGCTGAAAATAGTGATTGCAATAGTATATCAAGTTGAGTGAAAAGTTTTCCGTTAAGGGGAGATACCTCAGCGCCAACATCAGCCATTCCCGTGGTAGTTAACCTTGCTCCAAACGGGTTTTTTCATTCTAAAGTTGAAAGTTGGAACTACACACCTGTGTCATTTGTTTGTCAAAACTATATTATCCTGTGCACCAAAAAAGTTTTTAAAATGGAGCTATCATGTAACAGATCAGAACGATTATGTACTATGAGTTCCGAACTAAGCTCAGTGTAACTGAATGCCACAAAAAAATGTGTGAAAGTTTAGGTTTGAAATTTCAATCCTGTTTCTTATGAAACAGTAAAAGATAGGTTTCGCAAGTTTAAAGTTGTGAATTTCGGCACTGAAGATGAACCACGCTCTATTGAGGTCGATTGTGACTAATTAAAACAAATAATAAGTCAAGACAGGAATGCTTCAACACGAATTATTGCGTTAGAGTTTGACGTTTGCCAAAAAAATAATAGTTAAGGCTGTCAAACGCATAAATCTAACGTTTAAGTTTAACAGATGGGTGCCGTACGAATTGACTGCTGAAGACAAGAGCAAGAGAAAAGCGGCCTGTTTGGCTCTGCTCAGAGATCAAAGAAAAGAGAACATTCTGAAAAGAATTGTGACCTGAGATGAAAAAGGGATGTACTACAACAATACAAGCCGTAAAGGAGGGTGGTCAGCACCCGGAGAATCAGCAGCTTCGGTTGCAAGACGAACGCTAACTAACAAAAAGGTGCTTCTCTGTATCAGGTGGAATTGTCGTGGAATTATCTATAAGGAGTACCTGAGAAGCGGACAGGCTATCAACAGTGCAGTAATATGCTAGCCAAAGTTAGCGATGCCATTCACGAAAAACGAGTTCAGAAGAAAGGTGGTTGTCTTTCATCAGGATAACGCCTGGTCACACGTTAGTGCGATGACCGGCTGGACGTGGGATTTGATGATACATCCATTATACAGCCCAGGCATGGCGCCTTCGGATTACTATTTGTTTTCACATGTGCAACTGCATCTTTATTGCACAATCTTCCCTTTAAATGACAATGCCATAAATGAGGTCGATCGCTTTCTGGACTCGCGCGTGCCACAGTTCTTCGCAGGAGAAATTGAAAAGTTGCCAAAACGCTGGCAGACAATTGTTCATTTGAATGGAGATTACTATCCGCATTAGCTTTGCTGATTTTGTATGTATTTATCATTTTACAAGATTGCTTTTTTTTGGCTGAAAACTTTTTACTGAACAGTTATATTATTTTGCTTAATATACTATTGAAATCACTAATTGTAAACTAACAAAATATAATAGAGTCTCTTTACAACTTAGTTTCATTACAGCGAATTTCTTCCAATGACATAAAAACATTCGAAATACTGTCTTCATAATAAAATGATGGTCTTCGTATAACGAATTTTTTTGACGTTTATCTTTCAAATTTTCATCATTTTTTGGAATTTTCTAAATTTTAATATTTTTATTTCTATCTTTTTTAAAGAAAGATGCATTTAAAAGGTGGGATTTATGTACAGCTGATTCTCTCTTCCACATGGGTGTTATGGAACCATCCGCATTATTCTTTTCAGCAAAATGACTAATTTAAAACGATCTTATAATGTGTATTACATCATTTTTTTAGACATAATTACATAGACATAATTTAGATAGTTTTGATTTTATCACGTTAAGCATTTTGTAACATTTCTTGAGATACCTGCAAAAAAGAAACTTTAGCCCACTATAAACAACTACCAGTTTCTTAGCTATTCACTATAATCGTTATTAATTTTAATATTACTTATTGTATCAAATTTCCTCTTTTGCATAAATATTTTAATTAAAAACTCATTATAATCGTCACGCATACATTTTTAACACTTCAAAAATTTTAATTTTTTCCCTCCTTGTAGATAACTACTGTGTAATAAATTTTGAATCTTGAATTATAAATTTTTTGTTTATGCATCTTTTATACTTATGTTCAAAAATGTTAATTTCAAATTAATAGTACTGGCTTTGTAGTCTGTTAGAGGTCAAAGCAATTTTTTCTTTTATTGAAAATTACGAAATTTGAATAAAATTTGTTTCTTTGAAATAACATAAGTTAAATAACAGTTCAGATGGAGCCATATAAAGCATTTGTAACAACCGAGGTTTCACTATGTAATACGTGCTCATAATAGCAAAGTTAGACTTCATGAAATACTTACGCTTTTAATGATATTTTACAACATTCGTTGAATTCATATTTAGTATAAGTTTATAAACATAACTTTAATAGCTTTTGGTATTCATTAAAGTATACGCTTTAGAATGAGTTGAGTGCATTTGTTTCAACTCATTTTCTAAAACATTAGGTAACCCTGGATGCCGAATTCGGGACTGTTAAAGTTGATTTGATAATTCTATGTTGATGTTGATATGAGACGGATCTTTTGATACAGTTGTTTTAACAAAAATTCATGGATAATTTTCGTTTATAGTCCTTTAAGGATACTTATGTATCTAACTATATAAAAATTTAATGATGTTGTCGCAGTTTTCCGTTGTTGGTGGTACATTTTTAATGACCGGAAAATCACATGGAAGGATCCAGTTTTCGCACATTAATTTCCATATTTGTTTTAGTTGTCATCCAGCATTAACAAAAAGTAATGAAAATATTATTTTCCTGTAAAATATCTTTGTATCCCAAATTCAGAGGTTACTTGCTATATTTATTTTTCCTATTTTACTTTTTCGATTTTAATTACTAAATTTTTGATTTTGATTGTTTTCTAAATTATAAGTTTAAAGCTAAATTAGTTGTTTCTTTATTATAACTTAATTCTATGATATTGCATTATTGCCCTATGCATTAAGATAAACTTATTTGAATCAGTGTTTAAACTTATTAACCGTTTTACAATTATTATTTTTGGTGTAAATTTCATTTAATATGCTATAATAAACTAACGTTTTATTTATTGACATTAATAGATCGTAATAGAATCATAAGAGAAATAGAACCATGCGAAATCAAATTTGATTCAAAATATACATAAAGATGAATGTGGACGTGGTAAGTGGCGGCACAAGCGTAAGCAAACAGTATTCTTTATAGTACATCTATTTTAAGTGAATAACTACTTAAAATGTATGTACTATATAAAGTTATACAACTTACTACGATAACTATCGTTGGAAAAGAAACTTTTCTGCTAGGAAACAACAATTGTTACGAAACAATCATTGGAGTTCATGAGCGGCAGCGTAGAGGGAGGTTAGCCCCTCGTTAATATAAACAATTTAAATAGTTCTGTTAATGTTAAAATAACTTATATAAATATGTAAAGCTTCTTGCGGGGGGGGGAGTAATTAAATGCTTTTTGTAAAAAATTTTATATTACAGTAAGTGTTAGTTTAATATAGTTTGGAAAAAAAATTATAATGATTTTTTCCCTGCTCGGTTTATTATTTAACGTATGTTATAGTACAAAAACTATCCTTAAAATAAAATAAAGTACTCAACGTAAAAATAGTTATAATAATATAATAAATAGTTATAAAGTATTCAAAGTAAAAAGTTATAATAATACAATAAATGGTTATAAAGTATTCAAAGTAAAAATAGTTTAATTGATACAATAAATAGTTATAAAGTATTCAAAGTTAAAATATTTATAATAATCCAATAAATAGTTATAAAGTATTCGAAATAAAAATAGTTATAATAATACAATAAATAGTTACAAAGTATTCAAAGTTGAAATAGTTATTATAATACAATAAATACTTATGAAGTATTCAAAGTAAATATAGTTATAATAATACAATAAATACTTATAAAGTATTCAAAGTAAATATAGTTATAATAATACAATAGATAGTTATAAAGTATTCAAAGTAAATATATAACCAGGCGGCAGGAATAGTTGTTTAATACCCAAGAAAAAAAATTTCATGAGCGATCTATGATTAATCAAATAGGATGATTTTCTCTATTTTTAGACTGTTAATGTTTATGTAAAGAAAGAAGAAGATAGATGACTGTTTGATTGTTGAAAGAAGATTAATAATTATTATTTTTTTTTTCAGGTGAAAAAAATTGGAGGTGGTGGATTTGGGGAAATCTACGAAGGCCTAGACTTGGTATCAAAAGAATTAGTAGCTTTAAAATTAGAATCAGCAAAACAAACCAAACAAGTGCTCAAAATGGAGGTGGCTGTACTTAAAAAATTACAAGGTTATTATTTATTTTTTTCCTTTTTTATATACCAAAACTGACAAATGTGCTTCAATAATTCAAATGATATTTTGTAAATTGTATTATTGTTACAATAATGGCATGATTTTAAAAATCTGAAATTGATAGATTTAAATGCACACGCCAGATATTAACATTAACTGTGATACTTATTTAATTTTTGCTGAATTAAGTGCATTCCCTTTTGCACTTTTACAAAATTTATCTATGAATATGTTTATGTTGNTTAGACTGTTTCTTTATGTAAAGAATCATAAGAGAAATTAAAAGAAATTAATTTCTTTTAATTTCTAATTAATTTCTTTATGTAAAGAAAGAAGAAGAAGATAGATGACTGTTTGATTGTTGAAAGAAGATTAATATTATTATTATCTTTTTCAGGTGAAAAAAATTGGAGGTGGTGGATTTGGGGAAATCTACGAAGGCCTAGACTTGGTATCAAAAGAATTAGTAGCTTTAAAATTAGAATCAGCAAAACAAACCAAACAAGTGCTCAAAATGGAGGTGGCTGTACTTAAAAAATTACAAGGTTATTATTTATTTTTTTCCTTTTTTATATACCAAAACTGACAAATGTGCTTCAATAATTCAAATGATATTTTGTAAATTGTATTATTGTTACAATAATGGCATGATTTTAAAAATCTGAAATTGATAGATTTAAATGCACACGCCAGATATTAACATTAACTGTGATACTTATTTAATTTTTGCTGAATTAAGTGCATTCCCTTTTGCACTTTTACAAAATTTATCTATGAATATGTTTATGTTGATATATTTGTAGCTGTTTTTTACAAAAAAAACTTATTCTTCTGCGAAATGTAGTGATGGCTGTTCAACGACGGCAATGTCATCATATGAAATTATGCTTTTTAGTGAATAATAAGCTATTTTTATAACCATAGTGAGTTTGCTACCATAGGTGATCGGATAACAAAAGGCTGAAACATATAATGCTTAAAACATTTATTACTTAAACTGTTAGTTAAAATAAGACATTTATTATTTAGCAATTAATAAAAGTTTATCAGAAGTTTTTTTTTATATCTTTTTATTTCATATAGATTATATTTTAATTTAGATGTTAAGTGAAAGTAAAAAAAACCAAGCATCATGTTATTAATCTTTATAATCTACGTAATAAAAATAATTTAAGAGACGACTGGCTCTGTTTCGATAATTAAGAGATAAAAAATAATTTAAGAAAAAAAATATCCTTGTTTTCTGATATGCATTTGATGGATAACAATAATATTATCAAACAAAAGTGATTCTATAATTTGAATATTATTAAATACTGCCAATCTTAGAATAGGACATTAACTAAGTTATTTGAAAAAAGAAAATGCTTATTATATATAATATATTTATTTTTAAAAAAAATTATTTAAAATTTTATTTAATTATGTAAAGGTAGTTTCAAAATGAAAAAAAATTACAATGCCCTATTTATTATTATCATTTCTGTAAAATTGAAAATAATCCGTTTTTTAAAAGTTATACTTACACTATAAGTGCCACTCTGATCCCCACACTTCTAGTTTGACCCGAGAGATATCAAAAATCAATTTCGCGGAAAAAGTTTAGTGGCCTTTGTTCGTTAACAACAAAGCTAAACTTCGTTTGTTAACTTCGCCACTGGAGACTACAATAAAATAAAAGATATATTTAAAAAAAACATAATCAATGAAGTAAACTAATCACAAAAGTGCAATTTAAAATATTTTTAAAAATGTTTCCTTGGAGTGCAACTTAAAATTGCCAGTTTGGTGGTTAAAGTTATGAAATGTTTGAATTTATGAAATCATCAGATCTAGCGTATATTTCGGTTATTTAATAAAACGACAATATGATTGTTGACATTCACCGAAGAAAGTCGACGATCACTAATTTCGGTTTTTCACAGTGACTTACACATATATAATTAAAACTCACTTATATTGAAGAGGTAGTCAACAGAAATGTTCCATTTAGGTTGAAATTAGCACTTTTGAATAAAAGTCACCAAATGGAACTTGCAGCCATGTTAACAAGTAACACAAATGGTTTTTGAAAAAGTCTATAAAAATACTTCTAATGCAGCTAGAATTTGAATTAAAATTGTTTTAAAACCGTAAAAGTTTATCTTCGTCACGAAGTAAAATTAAAACGCGTAATTTTTGACCGAAACTTCTTTTATATATGAAGTTCTACTATATATGAAGTTCTTGTATATGTCTATATTTGAATGAATCATAAACACGATTTGTAAACGTGCACGTGCTTATTGATTTTAAAGATCGTTTTATCTTAAATATGATTTATCATTAAAACACAATAAGGTTTTATATGCATGTAACAAACATTTCAAGTAGCAACTTAATTCTTCTTAAATAAATGCTTAACAATTTTCAATAAAAAGAAAATTAAAAAACATTTTTTCATTCATCTATGAATGTATCGATTATATTGAAGCCTATCTGATATAGATGCAAGATATTTATCAAGAGCCCCTAACGGCATTCAGAGAAAAATCAGTCAGAATGGAGAGAAACGGAAGGAAACAGAAATGATAGGCATTTTACTCAGTAAACTAGTTAAATGCAGCAGAATTTATTCACACTAAATTTCAAACAAAGTTCATCAACAGACGGCGCTGCTGTCTGCATAGAAATGTTCGTTAATTTTCCTTCAGACTGTGTCGCAAATGGAGGTTAATTTGAAAACATTTTATAATTTTTCTCAGTAAAGAGTGCCATCTACCGCCATGGTGACTCAGAGTGTAGAACCCTTTGTCTCCCAATGAGGTGGCCTAGATTCGAATCCCAACTATTGCTTTTCAATACTAATCCTACTCCATGCTTGATCCGACCACAGTGTTCACATAAAAAATATCCTCAATGGTAGACGGATCTTTGTTTAGAATCCTCTTGCCATCAAGCTAACCATGTGAGGTTTTCCTCTTCATGTAACGCAATTGTGGGTAGTTCCATCAAAAAGTCATCAACTGGGGCTGGTTTGTCCCACTGCTTGATCTCTGAGTACCATTGAGTTACGTTCAAAACTCGGAGTTGGGCATTGACAGTCACAAACCTGGAAACCTGGTTGTTCAATGTTATTTTATAAGATAAAATAATATAAAAACAGTGGCACCAGGGGGTATTTTTTGTAATCTGGGGAGATTAAATTGTTTGGTTTCTTGAGCAGAACGGTATATTTTTTAAAGCGTAGCCCTATATTTTCTTTCATTCTTCTGTTTTACTTCAATAGTTTTTTCTATTTTTTTAAATCATCTATTATTACCTATATCAAAAAAACCGTATTGGCTATTGCTGCTCATTATGATCCTTAAATCACTTGTTTAAAAATGTGTTTCAATACTTTTTTCCTTTTCTATTTAAAAATGTCCTAGCATAATTTTAATTTAATTTTATCGATTGCAGGCAAAGAACATGTATGCCGGTTTATTGGGTGTGGCCGAAACGACAGATTCAACTATGTAGTGATGCAACTGCAGGGGAAAAATCTGGCCGAGTTGAGGAGAAGCCAACCCAGAGGTGCTTACAGCCTCAGTACCACCCTCAGACTTGGCTTACAAATCTTGAAAGCCATAGAAAGCATACATGAAGTTGGATTTTTGCATAGAGATATAAAACCAGTAAGTATTATTGAAACGAAATAGGAGTATATTTATCTTGAATGAGAAAGTAACAAAGCATCGTTAAATGTCCTTTCAAATGTTTAAGATAGAAAAAAAGGCAACAAGACTTTAAAATTATTTTACATAAAACATCTTACAATAGAAGACAAGGAAGGAAAAACACATCCATAATGCAAAATAGCAAAGATCGAAATGGCTACTCCATTAAAGGAGTTGGCAAAGCTTTAACTGGTAACACCGATCTTAGCTATTGTTATTATTTATTTTTACTTCTTGATTGTTTAACGAATATTTTTTCATATTTTTATTTTATTTTTGCTTTCTTTTATTCTAATTCAAGTCATGCAACTTAAAATTGTTTACTTTGGTTTTTTTGTTGTTGTTTATATTAACATCAAATCTGTATTCAATATGATAAAATTTAAAATTGCTCTTTATATACGTTTTTCCATTTTATGTTTTTTCTTCTTTTATGAACTTTCATTTAAAGAAATAACTGTCACCGTTCCATTCAAAGAAAATTTTTAAGATATTCGTATGAAGAAGATAATTTTTAAAACCTTAGTTTTCGTGCACTTATTAATATACATTTTTTTAAATTCTTGGAATAGTTTGAGAGAAAAACAATCCTCTTACTTTAATCTCTACCTCTTGTTTTGTAATCTTATTTTTAGCTCCGCGAAACTGTTATTAGTATGCTTGAAGGCAAGCCAACTTTTTGTTTTGGAATATTACCATTGTTAAAAGTTACCCTTTTTTTAAAACCACTTTTTATTATTTTGCATTTACACACCAATGTAACAAAAATATATTGTACGGCAGAAACCGTTGCATTCTACTAAAAAAAAAATTTTTTTTTTAACTTGTGCCGGTAAAAATCAATAATTTTTAATTTTAAAAAAACACTTTTTTTTTTTTAATTTTCCTTTTCAAAAATAAACTTTTTGAGCTAAGACCATGTCCTATTCTTCATGATTATAAATTGTATTAAGATTCTTGTTTTTATAAAATTGTTCCCTCTTATATTTAAAAACAAAATGTTGATTAAACTCACGGGGAAATGTCCTTTGTAATTTTTAATTCATTAATACTGTTTTGTTCTCTTATTAAAAAATTCTTACCTGTTTTTTTCTCAGTCAAATTTTTCCATGGGCCGGTTGTCGCATAATTGTCGAAGTGTATATATGTTAGATTTTGGTTTGGCCAGGCAATATGTAACTGCAACCGGAGAAGTAAGACCACCAAGGGCAGCAGCAGGCTTTAGGGGCACAGTTCGTTATGCTTCCATTAACGCCCATCGAAACAAGGTGAGTAGTGCATTATTTTATATTAAACAAATAAATCTTGTAACAATCGAATTTTTTCATTTGGTTAAAAAAAATGATCTTTTAAAAAAAAATAATTATGTACCGTAAGGTATGATATTTTGTAAAAGATTTATTTAACAAATACGAATTTTCGAATACTACGTATCATTTATTATCGCGAGGTCACAAAAATAAAAAAAGAAAGAAAGAAATTGAGTCACACACAATAATATATTTCAAAAAACTTCTACTATTTTACTTCAGCACTGTTTTTAACTTACTATTTTTTATAATTTAAAACTCATTCATTTTTTACTTGATAAAATGAAGAGCGAGGCAATCTAAATACTTCAATGTACAATCGTGGACCTAGGCAGAATTTTTTTTCGTGCGTCTTATTTGTTTAAATATATAAAAATATTAAATTGAACTCTTAAAAAAATTTCTTTGGCAAGATTTTAATTTGTTATAAACATAACAACAAACAGGAATTAATAGTTTTTTATTGAGGTACCTTCAACGTAAGTGTCAAGCTGCCATTGAAAAGATCTATCTAAAAAGATCTGATGAGACGACAGCTTGTTACTGACCCGTCATGAGCTTAAGGAATGCTAGTTTGTCTTANGCAGCAGCAGGCTTTAGGGGCACAGTTCGTTATGCTTCCATTAATGCCCATCGAAACAAAGTTAGTCGTGCATTATTTTATACTAAAAAAAAACATATCTTGTAACAATCGAATTTTTTTTTATTTGATTAAAGAAAACATTAAAAAAATTTGACCTTTTTTAAGAAAAAAAACTAATTACGTATAGTAAGGTATGATATTTTGTAAAAGATTAAAAACCTATTCATTTAACAAATACGTATTTTCGAATTCTACGTATCAATTATTATCGCGAGTCCACAAAAATAAAAAAAGAAGAAAGAAATTGAGTCACACACAATAATATATTTCCAAAAATTTCCACTATTTTATGTCGGTACTGTTTTCAACTTACTATTTTTTATAATGTAAAACTCATTCAACTTGTCCACACAATTCATTTTTTACTTGATAAAATGAAGAGCTTGTTTCCGGACAATCTAAATACTTCAATTTACAATGGTCAACCTAGGCAGTTTTTTTTCCGTGTTTTTCTTATTTGTTTAAATATAAAAATATTAAATTGAATTTTTAAAAATTTTCTTTGACAAGATTTTAATTTGTTATAAACATAACAACAAACAGGAATTAATAGTTTTTTATTGAGGTACCTTCAACGTAAGTGTCAAGCTGCCATTGAAAAGATCTATCTAAAAAGATCTGATGAGACGACAGCTTGTTACTGACCCGTCATGAGCTTAAGGAATGCTAGTTTGTCTTAGTTAACGCTACTGATGCGCAACGCTGTCTGCCTTCGTTGCCACCATCATGCCTTCATTTTTAAGACAGTGAAACCTTAACCTCTTTGACCCTTTAGCTGACAACAGGCTCTTGTGGAAGCGATTTTACCTTCAATAATATCTTAATGCTATCACACAATTTTCTTCATTGATGGCTCTTTTTTAGACTTAAATTTTTTTTCCTTTTTTTTTAAAACTTTTAGGAAATGGGACGCCACGATGATCTATGGTCTTTGTTCTACATGTTGGTGGAGTTTGTAAACGGACAATTGCCATGGAGGAAAATCAAAGATAAGGAACAGGTAATAAAGATCTTTGGTTAAACATTGATTGTAACACGTGAATATAATCGGTGCTTTTGAAACTGGACTATGGTTGTAAAATAGTCAGACCCCGTTATAGTAAACCATCTGAGGATCCAGCAGTAAGTCCACTGTGAACGATGATTCACTATATCCAAAATGCTAGAAAAATTTTTCTTTGTAGTATCATTGGAAATAGTGATAGCAGCAGTACGTAGTTTGGTTTCTAAATTGTTAACTAACTAAATATGTAGAGTCCCACTACAATTAAATTTCCTTACAGTGAATTTCTTCCTATAACGAAATTTTTAATCAGGACATTTAAAAACGCTCCAAATATTCTCCATGTAATGAAGTGTTTATCACCCTATGAAATTTTTTCAGGTGTTTCAATTTTCGTCAGTCTGGAAATTTTTAGATATTTATTGTTTTGATTTCCGTTATTTTTGAAGAAAGTTTGATTTTCTGTGTAACCAATTCGCTTTCTCATAGACTTCTTTTTTGGGCCCATTCAAATAATAAGTTAGCAAATTTTCGGCAATTTTAGAGTTCCCTTGTCAACAAAAATAAGCAAACTACGAATCTCCATACCATGCTTACCTAAGAAGGTTGCAATACCTCTTCCCCTGTTTTTTGCTTTAAATTTGACTTTTACAGTAGTTATCTAATGTTAAGATTTGATTCAAATAAATGATGCAGCTTTGCATGAAACAAAATTTATGTTAAAATTTGCTTTATCAAGCTTTGAGTAAAAAAAAAATTCAGGAAGTTTTTGTTTTCTTTTTGAGGTCAAAATTCTTGATCTCTAAAACTCCTCGAAGAAATTTTTATTTTAGTTTTTTTCAGGTCCCACTATAAGCGAATAATTTCTCACTTATAGAAATATGGGACATTATGGGCTAAATAGAAGTTCGAACGAGACCACTAAAAACGTTTACTACTATTAAATGTTATATATATCCTTGTGTTGATTACAGCGGAGTTAGACTGTATTTATTTGTAAATCTTGTAATAAATAATTCGGATTTTAATCTTGTAATAAAATATCGCTTTTATTAAATAAACTTAAATAATAAGATGTATAATATAAGCTTCATTGATGAATTCATTATAGCTGATATCTCCCAAAAGAATTTTTTTTTCATTTTTTATTTTAATACTAGAGTTTAAACTTCGTACACACACGCAGACCATTACTGTAGAAAAAAAAATTTCCTCCTAAAACGTAACACCATATTTTATATCATTCAACAACGGAAGTTAAAAAGAATAGATTTATTGAAAGTTCCAAAAATATGCCATTTAGAAATGGAAACGTTATCTCAAAAGAAAAAAAAAGTGTTATTTTCTCATCAAAAATAATTATTTTTTATCTAATTGAGTGATATTCCATTTATGTAATTAAATTCTTTTACAGAAACTGTAAAAGCTGTCTTACATTTTAAAGCTAATTCTACATATTTTTAATGCAAAATATCTAAGGCAAATTTTCCTATGCTTAAATATTTGGGAACAGTCAGTCTTAAGAAAAACTATAATCCTTTTTACAAATTTTTAAAAAAGAGATAATTAGTATTTATACAAGTATGTTTGTATTAATAGTTACAAGTATGCTTCCAAACACCACACAAAAAATGAGTAGTTAATACATTAAGAGGTGTTGATTGAAAATGTTATTAAAAGAAATAACTTACTAAATAACTTGGAAAAAAATTTCTCTTCTATGTCAAAAGAAAGGAAGTTAATAATATTCCTAGCATGTGAAAAAAATAATATTCATCTTTTGATTTTTTGGGGGGGAATACAGAATTTCAAATTTAAGAATGATTTTTTGATTTGCGAAAATTATTCAATCCTATGTGATAAAAACAGCATTCAAAAATGTAGTACAAAAAGTGCGTTAGAACGTTGTACAAATTATCACAGATTCCAAGATCATACATTTTTCTGTCACATCTTTTGAAATCTCTATTTATTTTTCATTCATTCTTTTTTTTAATTTGCAGGTTGGTATCATGAAAGAAAAGTACGATCATCGGCTTCTCCTGAAACACTTGCCTTCCGATTTCCGCCAATTCCTTGACCACATCCTAGCCCTTGAGTATTATGATCGTCCTGACTACAATATGCTGTCCGGTCTGTTTGAGCGATGTATGAAGAGAAGAGGTATCAAAGAGAATGACCCATTCGATTGGGAAAAGCACTACACAGACAATTCCATCACCACCACCGTTACCACGTCACCCGCAGTCATATCCAAACCTCCCCTTGCTGGGTGCGACATTTTTGTATTTTTCTATTTATTTTCGATTATTTATCGACTTATATAAACGTGATCAGAAATACAATGCGATCTATTTATATTTATGCTGAAGAGTTTATTCTCCATAAGTTTTAATTATCGTCAAGCGATTTCTTTTGAAGAGTTTATTCTCCATAAGTTTTAATAATCGTTTTCAAATTAATTTAAAAGAAAAATCAAATTCAAGCAATGTTTTTTTTTAAATAATGCAAAAAAAAATATTAAATGATATTGTTTTTTAATAATTTCTAATAATTATTTTTTAATAACAGTTTTTAAAAAGTAATCGTTTGCAAATCTATTCAAATAATTTCAAGCGATGTTTTAAAATTAAATTAACAAAATAATGTTAGAAAAATTTGAAACTGTTTTTTTTTTTAAATATATTTGTACAAATCCATTAATAAATGTTCAAGAATTCTATTAAATAATACAGAATATATCTTTCATTTTTTAAGTTCCAAAAACTTGCATCGAAATCATTTGTGATTGGAAGAAACTTTTCTTGAACAAATAAGGTTGTTATCTTCTTCATGTTAAAATATAGGAGAACTAAGCACTCATATTTTCTGTTCGAAATATCAAGTGATTGCAAAAGTTTGTGCCTGATTTGAAACTAAAATAAAACACAACATATTTTCCTAAAAAAAAATGCTATTCCGTCATCAAAACTTTATTTTACAAAAGTGCCTCTCAAAATTTTACAGATTTTTTTTTTTTTTTTACTGCTTCTTTCTATGTTTTTAATAAAAGACGTAAGGACAACCTTCATTTAGCAATAGACTCTGCTTGTAGTAGTCAGGAAATGACGAAATAAAAACAAAACAAGAAAATGGCGAAGTTTGTTTTGTTACCCAGGATCCGAACTCCAGTTAAAATGTGAGAACTGTACATACTTGGAAAATGGTAGACATTTTGATTGCAGAATTGTCTCTTTTCAAACACGAAAGCAATTTTAATAATAATTAAATCAGAAATAAAAAAAAGAGCGAGAATAGGAATTAAATTTAGGTTTACACATTCTAACTAAAACTGTATTTTCTTGTTTTGTTGCTTTATATATGTATTAGTGTGTGGTTTTCTGACAAAAGGTCCTTAATGAACAACCTCTTTTACTTTAGTACTGTCCCACCTGGCACTCACGGCACAGATAATATGTTGGACGACAACATCATGGCTAGCTTTGAGGACCATGGCGAAAACTACAAACTGGACGAATTGGGTGTAAAGCGAGATACGTCTAAAGAGAACATAACTAAAGGTCTGTATCAGGCTGAAATGATCGAAGGTGGTCGAATAGCTGACAACATCCACTCCAAACCTTTGAATGAAAATAATAATAATTACTATGCAAATAACAATGCCTTAAAAGTAGATGAAATAGCAGATAAACTTGAGGTAAATATGATCATATTATATTTTATTAAAAAATGAATTAAATAATCAGTTTATATGTTTGTGTTCTATAATGATGAGTTTATTTTTAATGTAAAATTAAGTATTTTTTAAATGTAATAAAAATTTCGTTCCGATCGGCATTTTTTTACCGTTTTTTAATTACTTAATTAATATATAAACTATTAAATGGTAATCAGTGTTAAGATTTTATCAAAGCATAGAACTGAGATTAAATAAATTTGATTTAATCAAAATTTACTGAAACAATTCAAAGTGCCAAGGCAAAACATCAACTTTTTCCTGTAATATAAATTTAGTCAATACGAATATAGAAATATTCTTCAAAGTAAAAATAAAACATTTAATCTAAATATAGTATGTCAATATATTTAGTATATATAGTATAGTATATATAGTTTAGTATATATAGTATATAGTATAGTATAGTATGTCCCAAATTAAACGCAACCCAGAAAAACGAAACATGGAAAACTGAGAAAAGGAATGTTTGTTGAACACAAATTACACGAATTTTATTTTATTATACTACGAGCGTTGAACAGCCAAACCAATTCTGAGTTTACGACTATCAAAGTCCGACTACGTAGCCTTGTAATTTTAAACCCAACCCTGAAGACAAGGGTACAAGTGTATTTTCGCGCGAAGTGCTATTTGAATGCAAACGACTGGATAATTTTACAAACTTTTTGAAAAAAAAAAGTGATTTTGAGATAAACCTATTCTAAGTTGTAAGTGTGTACAGTTAAAGCTCCATTTATTTTTAGCATCACCTATTTCAACTGTATTCTGAGAAGGCTAAAGATTGTCCCAAAATTCAAGCAAGGTTTATAGTTTGTGTCATTAGTGTTATGACATTTTTCCAACAAAGAAAAGCTGATAGTTCAGGGTTAGAAAAAATAGAACGCCATATGAAAGAATGAATACGTTTTTATTATAGATTTAAGCACCGTTGTATCATTTTTAGTCAAGTAATATGCAGTTTCGGTGTTCAAAGTTAACCACCCAGATCATATCATATCATATTTAACGCAGTTGGACTTTGTTCTTTGAAGTCTAAAATTTATGTTTAAAAGCCCACGAACACCCATGATTTGAAGAACGAAAATAAACATTGTAATAATTAAATTTCGCCACATTAATACAAAACGGGTATTAAAAATTTCGGTAGTAAACGGGTATTAATTAAAAGCGCATTTGCGATACCAAAGCCATCATTCCTTGCAATTCCCTTGCATTTCTTGCAATTAGTTAGCCCTATACTATACACCTTATCAATGAATTAAAAATTCGAAATTTTTAATTCGTTTCTTATTATTGTGTTAATTTTGGGATGGCCTATGTTTATTATTTCCTAACTCTTCAAATTGAAGATGTTCTTTTAATTATGATTACAACTCTTATCTGTTTCAGAAAATGGAGGTTGAAGAAGAAGAGGATGGCAAAGAACACGTGAACGGAGTTGAAGACCCTGGTAATCAACAAGGTACACCAGATACAGATCGTTGCAAGGAATTTGCAAAACTCTGCATCAGTGACCATCCCAGTCTATTCAAGGAAGAATCTGGAGTCGGCAGTAGGGGCACGAGTCCGAGACCCAGGGAAGGTGATGGAGGCAGTAGCCGAGAAGTGTCCTACAGGCATGCAGGAGGAGGGGACGGCGGTAAACAGCCCCTCTCCGTCCTATCTACGACCGAATCAAAATTATTGCGTGAACCTCGAGAACACAGACACCGCCGCTATCATTCCGGTTATAAATCAAGGTACTCTCGAGATATTTCCATTACCCAGATGGCTCTGGCTGAGGATGACAACATATCTGCTTTACAACAGGTATTTTTTTTTTTTTCTTTCTTTAGTTCATTTGTCGTCAATAAGACAGTGATAATTGTCAGTTTACAAGGCTGACGCCCAGAGCGGTTATGCAGACAGAATATGTACAGTGCGGAAAAAAATATAAATAAAACGGACCACCCTGAATAACTTTTAATTTAATAATCGAGTCTTCACGTTCTAGTACTCAATCTTAATGGTTCGAGGGGATGACCTCAAGTATGATAACTAATTAGAGCAAACGATATTTTAAGTTACGAAAGCAGGCATAAAAACGTAGAATCTCTGCAGTTCCTGAAAAATCAAATTTTAAATATACGAATTTTGTAAAATTAAATTTCTCAGGAACTATTGAGGGATTTCGTTCAAATTTTATATTTGGCCGTGTGAAGTGACATTCTTTAAAATGATGTTAAACATTGTAGCCATTACCAAAATTTTTTTTTAATGATTTTATTTCTTGAATTCATTAAATAAAATAACAAGAAATAATAAATATTTACTTAAAGATGTTTCTTGCATTGAATTATTTTGGGATAAACGAACTTTATAACTGTGTTTAAAAATGTCTCCATTCGCTTAAAAGTTCTGAAGATAAGGCGACATACGAAAAAAGTGAAATTAGCATTATGCGATTCAAACTTTGGATCGCTCTCCTGACCAAATTATAGCTACCATATTTTCCAGATTTAGGCTACCCCCATTTTGAAAGTCAGAAATCTGAATGCGTCGAAAAAACGGTATGCTTATTCACAGGGCTCGAAAAAACTCAGAAATTTTACCCGTCCCCGAGGACGGCTTGTCCAACAATGTACCCGTCNGTTTCTTGCATTGAATTATTTTGGGATAAACGAACTTTATAACTGTGTTTAAAAATTTCTCCATTTGCTTAAAAGTTCTGAAGATAAGGCGACATACGAAGAAAGTGAAATTAGCACTAAGCGATCCAAACTTTGGATCGCTCTCCTGACCAAATTATAGCGACCATATTTTCCAGATTTAGGCTACCCCCATTTTGGGAGTCAGAAATCTCAATGCGTCGAAAAAACGGTATGCTTAATCAGATAAAGTACATTTTTGTGTCTGATTTCGTAACTTGTAATATTTTCTGCACTAAGTAATTAGCTTATTTGAGATCAAACACTCAAACCATTCTAAAAGGCTAGAAGCCGACCATGAGATCAAAAGTTATTCAGTGTGGTTCGTTTATTTTTATTTTATTTATTCATTTATTATTATTATTTTACACACTGTACAATAAAAAAATTTAAGACCTGAGAATGAAAGGATATAACCCACATTTTTTCCAGATTAGAGATATAGATATTTTTCTGTTAGAGATCTGTGGCTTCTTATAAATTGTGTGACCATCTCTCTTGTCAGAACTTGTATTATTTGAACAGAATGAATGCTTTTGTTTGATCTAATAGTTTATTCTGGAGAAGGGAAATTTTTCGAAGATGCGGGTTATCATTTCTTACCCTTCAATTTACTACAATTTCGTGAAATATATATTAGAGCTGAACTATAGCATAAGCAGAATAATCCCTCTGTAATGAACCTCAGACATAGTGAACACTCAGTTGTGAGTTTTTTAGTAGTTCTTTCTGAACTCTGATTTAACTAATGTTATTTTATACGCCAATATTGGATAGCTGAAAAATTGGTGGCTCGTTTAAAATGGACTTTTAATTTCAATTCCTCAAAGATTTTTATGGGAGGGAAGGTTTTTTTTCTTCTTTTTTTCCCAACTCAATTTGCAGGAGTTGCGATTGCAAAGGGCATTTCTTTACATTATGTCAAATTTTACTTTTGCATGCTCTTCGCGCTTTTAAACTAGGGCGAAAAGTTGTTAAACGTTAAGAAAAACTAGAGACTATGGCAACTTTTATCTCGGAAGTGTAATTCGCATTAACGATTCTGAAATTGTTTTCCCCTGGAGAAAATGAGAACTTAAAAGTACTGGATTCTTTATTAATTGTTGATACAAAAATTAGTAAACTCTACTTAAAACTAAATTGTAGTCTGTCGAGAAATACTAATTTCTTCCAGAGAATGTGAAAATCGATTCACTTTTTTTTAATGTTTAATTTATTATATATTTAAGCAGTTAATAATTTATAATCAAATTATGTACTATCGTATTAATTATTTCCAAGAATACTATTGTCACAAATGCTAACTTCAAAGATTTTGGATGTAGTGAAAAAAGTGACCGAATTTAAACTTGCATGAAAGGCTAAGCTCCCACCAAGTGATTAAAAGTAATGGAATTATTTAATAAAAATTGTAATAAACATTTACACTTTTTTACTGTTGCACACAATAAAGTAGCATAAAAAGTAATTTCTTTGATATTAATACATGTCAGTGGTTTTTTCTGTCATTGTTTCCTCTAAGAAACAGTAGACTTTTTAACTCAATATGAGAGCGATTCTGTCTCTTTGAATTTGAGTGACTTTATATAAAATTCCGATAGTTAATTAACATCTCGCGTTTTTTTAGAATTATGACAAACAGAAGTTTTTAAGTTGTTCTATTTGTTTCTTCAGGTGAGAATAAGAATTTTGTTGTGCAACCGAATGTGTGTTATAACAATAAACAAATAATTTTATGCGATGTCTGGAAAATCTTGAAAGTATCATAGGCATTGTAAGAACGTCTTTAATAGTGTTAAACAGAGTAAAGCGATTTTTTAAAATTTTTATTACAAATAATGCATATATAGCCAGTATATATATATAATAATATAGGTTGCCTTAATATTGTGGTAAGTTACGCAGTGTTACCAAGCAAATTATTCTATCAATTTTATAACCAATAATTTTGAATGAAAAAAAAATTCTATTTAACACTTTTATAAAGTTACAAATTTGCTTGATGTTCAAGTTGCCATCATTATTTTTCTACCTTATCTATAAAGTATTTTAATAAAATAACAATTAGCGAATAAAAGTAAAAACTTAAAAAAGTCCCGATTATAACTTCAGAATAAAATAGAATATAGAAAAGATAAATGGAATAGAAGATAAATAATGCGTGTTTTATAAGACAGACTTTTCGGTGCTTTTTTTTCTTCAAGGTACATATTAAAACCAATTTTCTCAATTCGATTAATTGTCACTTAACATTTTCTTCCAATAAATTAATCATTTCTACCATAGGAATCTTAATTCTTCCACATCATATGTTTAAAAGCCATTTTTCTTTCAACATAGGTAACAAAGGGAGGAGCAGCTGCTGTAACGCTAGCTTCTAAATGGCAGGTATCTTTCGATGATAGCGAAGAGACAGATAATGAAGTTGAGGCAAAAGATAACCTAACGTCCCCAGAGCATCGTCCCGCATTCGCTCAAGATTCCCCCTCCAAATTATCCGGCCCACATGCAGGATCCAATTTCTGGCCATCCGCTCAAGATTCCATTCTCGTAGTCCAAAACCACTCTGGAAGCAAAGGAACTCCTGTGAAAAAAGGTCTACTCACAGACCAGAGATTGGATGAAGCCACTGCGCGAAATAGAATGTTTTGGCGAATGAAAAAACAAAAATGCGTTAGGAGAGTGACTTCTCAACCATTAAAGCAAATTTCTGATCGAATAGCTCCTGTGATTGAAGAAGGTGGTAGAAGGCACTCTGCTCGCGCTGTTTTACTTTCGGACTACATATTGCAGGGACAGCGATCATGGAGCTGCCCTGATTTGAGTTTGGGTCTACTATCTTTGCCCGGGTCACCAATAAAGTACAGTGCATCCGAAATAAATTTTCATGATATGACGCGAAGTATGGAGAAAATGCAAGACAAAAAGCATGTGCCTTCAAGGCGGCATTCTGCCGAAATCCATTCGAACATTGAAAATTTAAAAGACGCTGACAGCAAAAGATGGTCGGTAGGATCTACGTTTGAAAGAATCACTAAAAAGATGCCAGCAGAAAGAGATGAAAGTGCCCCAAAAGGAGATTCAAAAGGTTCTGAAGAATACAATGTTGAAGGTATTAAATCTGCACCTATTCCGTCAAATGTGAAACCTAAAAGCATCCTCAGGAAATCCGGTTCTGATCAGCCACTCGTGCAAGCTAGTCATAAACCAATAGATACCGAAAAAGTTTTTTGCAATAAGCTAATTGTAACAACTATTGAATGGGAGCCAAATGATAAAATAGGAAACATTGTCAAACACGAAGTAGAGACGCCGACTTTAGAAAAACAATCACCAATGACTCCTATGCTAGATATTGGTCGTCTTCATGTTGATGAGCCGTCAGTTTATTTTGATGCTCCTCAACCAAATGAAGAGGATTCTGACGATCCACGACGAATGCACGACGGTCATAACGGCGAGGAAGAAGACTTCGAAACACCTCCAAAAGACGATTTACACTCGTCTGGAAACATATCAGAACCCCGATTTGAAGACGCTCTTCAATATCGGAAACGATCACCCACTCCTCCAAACAGAGCTGGTATCAAGTATTCCTCAGGTATACGTCGCAAACTAAAAGATGTCGATTTTCACGTTGCTGAAGCTGTTATAGAAGAAGACAAAGAAGGTGGTTCTGCTTCGGACTGCCAATCTCCTAGGAGGCATGATTCTGTGACGCAAACTCACAGAGCAAGCCTGCCCTTTTCACGATCCGGGAGTGGCAACGAGGACATGATGCGTTCAACAATCCCGATTCATACGATGGACACTTGTCGCGAACCCACTCCCGATGACAGTTCGGACAGCTGGAGAGTGCCTAAGGGTGGATCTGAAGACAGCCAACGGATGCTTCTGCTTAGGAAGAGGCGCCCACGTTCCATGATCGAAGGTAATCGCTATGCTGATTATACATCTAAGAAATATCCTAGTGGTGATAAAATACAAAGGCAAGGTGGAATGACGCCAATGGTGTCATCTCGAGGGGGTTTGAAACAAAGAACGGCTTCCTCTGAAATGGTTGATTCAGCCAGAGGAAGCATGCAGAGTTCAAGGAGTGCATCGAGTTCGAGGGAAGAATCCGATTACGTTGAGCCAAATAATAAAGTTCCGATTGCCATGAAACGGAGTGACTTTTTCTCGCGCAGCATCAGTTGGGATGCCAAATTTCGAAAAGAACGCTCACCCAATTCTCGAGGTAAATCTTCCGAAGAGAAACACGTGCGAGCTGAAACAAACGATTGGCGTGGGAGGCACCCACGCAGACGTCACAGAGCTGGACTGACTGGGGGTGGAGAATCCCGAATTCCCAGACCCAAAAGTCGTATAGTGCAACAGGTAGAGCAGTTGAATCACGAGTTCCAGCAGGAAGTGCTTCAGAGGTGTCCACCTTCTCGGCCTGGCAGTGGCAGACAAGGTGAATCTCAAGGCAAATCTCCTGTGTCTTCTTCCCTTCCTACCCTTCAGAATGATTCAAGTATGAGTGCTGTACATCAAGAGCTGCCCAGGAACTGCAAGAGTGAAGTGTTGATTCCTCGGTTCAAACAAGAAGGTGCTTGTTATATACCACCGAGGTAGGTAAGATGTAACTTCAACTTATAAATCTTAATTATAATAATTGTCAGAGCTTATACTTTTTGACACATTTAATGTTAATGACAGTTTTATTCTAATTCAAATAAGTATAAAAGAAGTTAATATTTTGACGGTTAATTTTACTGATAACTTGCTGACATTCATAAAGCGAAACAATAAGTATGATTAAATATACTACAAAAAATCTGCATCTTTTAAAAGTTTTTTGTCCCTAGCTTATTTTATTTATTTTTAGCTGAATTCAATGGTGCAATTGAATTTCCAAAATAATTTTTGAATAATTTTAAGGGAATAGCAACAAATAAATGATTGACACATAAGTTATATTAATGTCAATTACGGTACTTTTAATTATTCATTTTAAAAAATTGATTTTGGAGATTCAGTTGTATTGAATTCAACTAAAAGAAAAAAATTTATAAACCAAGGCTAAAAATTCTTCTTAAAGATGCATATTTTGCTTAGTATATTACAATATACTTATTGTTTTTCTTTATATTATTGTCTGTATAATAATTTTAAACTAAAATAATTGTTTTAAAATGATTAATCATATATACGTACTAGTTTTCATTTCTTCAAACTCTTTATTTTCTCGAAATACATCGCTCTAAAAAAATGCATTCTAAGGTTATATCTATTATGATAATAAACTAAATATTTGAGCTCTGCTATTTACAAAAAACTCTATAATTTTCTTTAAACTACAGTTCAATGTTTACATCTTTTTTTTACGTAAGTTGTAAAAAAGATCCAAAATATTTTCATTCAATGCATATCTATACGTGTATACAGGGTGTTTCGAAACTCATGAACGAAAATTTAAGGGATGATGAAAAACATTCAAATAAGCAACATTCTTTCGCCATAGGCGAAGAGCGATGAATTACTAGGAGATATCTGTTATTGTCACATGAAAGGTACTAAATTAATTTTAATGTTTGGTGAAATTAAAAGAAACTGTTCAAAATAGTTGTTATGCAGGCGTTACTTCCATGACGTAGCGAGCTGTGTACGTCATTTAATTTACTTAAAATTAATTTAGTACCTTTCATGTGACAATGACAACAACAATTCTTTTGAACAGTTTCTTTTAATTTCACCAAACATTAAAATTAATTTAGTACCTCTTCTATCAGTTTAGTGTTCATTATTTCATGTGACAATAACGGATTCCTCCTAGCGATTTATCGCTTGCTCTCTTCTAGTGCATCGTATGGTAAAAATTGCTAATTTAGATATTTTTTAATCATTCCTTAACTATAAACTTCCTTATCTTTGCCTATGAATTTCGAAACACCTTGTATTTATGTAGTATACAAGGTAAACATAAATAAGTTGGCCAAAAAATATCTTACAAACCAAAAAATACCTATACAGCCAAAAGTAAGAGCATGTATTAAATAAAAAAAACACTATTAGTATTTTTATTTTCACCAATATTCGATGTGGCTGGCCATTGCATGCTTTATGACGTCATGAAAGTTTTCTGATCTCCGAATTTTGACTATCAATTCACCATGAAAATATGTCACAATATTAAAACTAACTGAGGAAAAGAAATAAGCATTTATTTACATGCCCTTTGTATTAGTGAATAAGTTTTCTTACTTCATTTGGTCTATGAATTGAGAAGTAGATCCTAATATGTTGATTAATTGGCGCAGGTGAAAATACGAAATTAAATTACGAAATCACACAAAAAACTAACTTTCTCTGAATAAATCAACTTTTTACTACAGATTCCGATTTTTAACACCCTAAGTATGGGAGGGGAGTAGGCCGTATAATATGAACCCTGTAGCAGAAACTCTTCTGCACGGAAATTAGATTATTACAGCATCTGCAGATTTCTTTCATCTAATTTTTTCCTTTTATTTTTAAAAAGGAAATAGACAAATGGGAGAAAATCGCTGAGATTCCTTTTTTTTAAGGAAAAAAAACATCTCTTAACTTGTTTTTAATAAAAAATTAAAACGCTGAATTAAGAAGAGCAAAAAGAAAAAGAAAAGAATTTTTTTTTCTGTTACTTCTTACAGGCTTAACTGTAAAGGGATTTCTTTCTCTCTTTTTTTTTTTGTAGTCAGTAAGAAATAGATGCATTTATTTAGAGAAAGTACGTTTCTATGTCTAATTTCGTAACAGAAAATATCGTCAGCACAAATGAGTTAATATATTTATGGTTAAAACCATGAACCAAGCGATTATATCTAAGTACGATATTACAGGGTGTTCGATAATAACCACCTTTGATCCAAATTTTTAGAACCCTCTTCAGAAATGAAGTCAAAACAGTATACATATTACGGGTTTTAAAGAAATATTTAAGCAAGGAAAAATCAAAAACCGTTTAGAAATTGAATGAATCGTAACTCAGGAAGGCTAGACCGTCGAATCACTATGGAGAAAAGGGGGATGATTCATTTTACCCTCTTCCCTAGTGATTAAAAAGCCTTTTTTTTTTCCGTTCAGGCTCAAACCTTTGACTCAAAATTAGAACTTTTATAAAACATATTTTTCATACTTTGTTTTTATTATTTTGTATTAATTTAGGTGAAAATTAGTGTAAAACATTATATTTAGCATTTTAATAATTTATGGTTATGAAATACAACATCAAATACTGGTGTATAATAAATCAATAAACTCGTCTTAACACGGATCACTTCCAAACTATATTTTTTCAAATTTGTATTTATTTGTATCTATGAGAAACAGTTATTCATCCTTAAAATTTCTTTAATTTACAGAATCAGTTATTGAATTTCCAAATATAAATGAACAAAAGAAATTTTTAAATAACTTTTTTTTTTTTGATTTTATAACAAATATGATTCCGATAATCTAACAAAAATTTTTAAGTGACTATTAAACCGTTTTTTTTTTTACAATTCAAAAATACCAAATTATATTTTTGCTTGTAATTAGAGAGTTGGAAAAATTATATATAAAAGGGACACTGGTTGTCCCATTTGCATTAAAGTCTTAAATATTAATTTGAGACCCCTAATACGTCTATACCTTTTTTTTCTTCACTTTTGGAAATATATATATATTAGGGGCGGCCATTATGTAGTGGATAGTTTACATGAATTTTTGTTAAAACTTAATTAGTGAATTAATGTTAACTTTAGCATTCATTTACAATTGGTATATTATTGTTATATCATCATGATTTCAGAGAGATTTCCTCCACGTTTCAGGCGACGAAGATATCGCCCTCTGACACCCAAAGACTTACCAATGACTGGAAGTGAATCGTCATGAATAATTTAATGACTATTTATAGAAACGTCTTCACATGTGGTGGTGAGCTGCAATTCTAACAGGGTAAACAAGGACATCTCCCCAAGTCACCAGCTTGAACAGAAACTGTGTCGAGAGTTTTGTTGTTTGCAAGATCTAGTCACTCTAATAGGCTACTTTTAGGTATTATAATTCAAACTTCCAAGATACAAAGTGGAATAACTTTTTTCGTCAGACTTGAGCCTTCTCTATTTCAATTATACCCTCTCAAGCACTTACCCTGCTAAGAATATCCATGCCACACACACACACACATTAACTGTAATCCACAATGCTTTGCATTCGCCATTTTGATTTGTGAAGCTTTTCTTTATCTTTGATTGGTTCATAAATAAATTAGTTCCTCCAATAAAAGAACTCGAAGAGAAGACTTTTGCTGCTATCATCGGGAATACCTTTGGTATCTCCAAACTGTGATCAACTGTTATTGATTTGCTGTACTAGAGTGGAGCATTTAATTTTATGTACATTGAATGAAAATAATTGTATTTTTAATCTAGTGGAAGTATATGATTGTGATTCTATTTCTCAACTGTGCTATAGCTACAAGCCAAAAATAGTTTTTTATGGTGCAAATAAATTTAAAATTATTATTTTTTTTTAAAATTTGGGTCCAAATAGTGTTGGCAGAACAGTAAATTTACCAAACCATACTTTTTTATTTTTAACTTCATGCTATTAATAGAATTGTTTGATGAAGTACTCAAATTTTTTTTCAATCTATAAAGACATACTTGCACTACATATTTTGCTAAAACATTTTATTTCAGTTTGAAAATGGCAATTTAATTTTATAAGTCAATTAGATTATTTTTCAAATGTTTTAAAAACGTGAACCTCATGATATGCAACATTGCAATTGGCATTAAAACCAAAATCCAAAATTTAACTGGTATCGTACATAAAAACATGGATCTAAACATATATTTGAATACTATTTATAATATTAATTGTAGAATTTATACAAGTATTACATACTTTAAAAAAGAAAAAAAATTATGACAAGAAAAATATTATTTCATTTAAAATTTATTTTCAGTGCTAAAATTGACATTTTAATATTAGTAGTTCATTTAATTTTAATTCTGACATCAAATGTGTTGACAAAATGTTGAGTGCCCACATTTTTCAAAACTTTTTAAAAAATTAGTTGCTTTTATTTGTAAAATTAAACTGAATATTTTCAAATAAAATGTTTGAACAAAAACAAAGCACGCCTATGTTTTAACACACAGTAGAAAAAGTGGAGTGCAAACTTAATTTAAATAGCATGAAATTAAAATATGTGAACACTTTGATATGCTTACTGCTTTGCCAGTATTATTTAGACTCGTTAAGAATAAACTGCCTAAATAAAATCAAATTGATGTAACAATAGCAAACGGGTAATCTAGTCAATCATCTACTTAAATAACGCCAATTTTATGTTTGTGCTTTTTAACATATACTATAAATTTATTGTTTTAAAGAAAAAGTAAATAAGTAGTTTAAAAGATCAGGTGTTTTATATATTGTTTTTAATATTATATGCCCTGTATTGTTTTCCTTATCCTTGCTATCAAAACTTTAAAAAATGTGAGTTACGTAATTTGAGTTTAGTTGGTTGGTTATAAAATAATTTTTTTTGTTTTTTTGGCAAATTTTTGCTATTTGTAAACATTATTTATGCAATATGTATGGAAATTGGCAAGCGTGATACAATTATTTTACTGCACCAAAACTTACAAAAAATAAAAATTATACAGTCAGCTTTGTACAATTAGAATTGTCATTTAGGAATTTGGAACTATGGCTTAAATATTTTAAAGGATAAAAGCAAAAATATCGGTGAAAATACATTTTAAAAAAAGCTTTATTATTTTGCTTGAATTTATGAACATTTTGTTACACATGGAGCTTTATATTTTATTTCACAACAAAGTATTTATTAAAGCGTTTTTATTTTTACATTTACTTGTTTCAGTATAAAATATTATTAAGTTTTATGTCTGTTACTTGAACTATAATGTGAAATCTGCTAATAGTTATTTTTTTCCCACTGTTTTCAATGTTTTTTGTAAATATTGGCAGTTAAAAGCGATTAACATTGAAAAAAAACATGTTCCAAAAAAAATTATACTTTATTTATATATATTTTCAATATTTCAAATTAATCATTTTAACATAGCCAACGTTAGAATCAGTAAAACAATTAACTTTTGAAACATTTTAAAATCTATTTATCAACTTGAAAATAGGTTTTAGAATAAAGCTATCCTGAATTAACATGAAATTGCAATTTAAAAATAATCATTTATTTAATAAGAATAATGCAAGTCTAAACATATAACTGATCAAATATAAATAATTGGTTATCTAATAAAGAAAATACATAAAATTATGCTTCTTTCAATTAGTAAATTAACAATTCACTATGCAAATTTTTAGACTCTTAAAAATGTTTCATGATTTGAAAAGCAAAAATTTAAATTAGTTACTTTTGCAATAGCTTGAAATGTAATTAGTAATTCGAAAATAGTTATAGAATTAAAACTATCTTCAATTGGCAAAAATATACAAATTTAAAAATAATAATAATGCTAGTTTAAAAACATATAAGGTATTATTATTAAATAATTGGCTATTTTATAAATGAAACACAAAGAAATGCTTATTTAATTTCCATGCTGATTAATTTATTATACCATTTAAATGTTTGAAAACTAAAATATATTACATACCCAAACATTTGCAAGATGTAGATAGTAACAAAATATTTTTTTTCAAACTTAAATTATTGTTGGTGTCTAAACATTGGAAACCAAATCATATGGATATATTTTGTTAATTACAAACTTTTGAAATTTATAATGAAATATTTTTAATTGATTTCAATAAACTTTCTTGCAAAGATATTATAGTATGAAGATTGCTATAGTATCTTAGAAATCAAATTAGGCCAAGTCATTGTAAAGAATCTGTAAAAAAAAAATATTTCTTGTCAATTACACTTTGTGCATAAGACAGTGTGATCGTCTGTTTTATAAAAATATTTAAATCCTAAGTTTATTGTATTTATTTTCTATGTAAGAACATAAACTATTGCACATAGGAAAGTAAGAATTTTACAGCTTAGATAATTTATGTATATTACAAAAATGTATTTTTTAATTTCTGAAAATCTTGCTGCCAGAAAATTAAATTATAAAACAAAGCGATTATAAAATAAAATCAGGTTATTTAAACCTTATTAGTAGAAAAATACTAGATCAACTATATACATATATGTAAGTATTTATTCTGTAAAGTAAGCTCAATTTAATGAAATCTTTTTAAAGGATTTATATTTAGTTTTATTTAACATTATAACTGACTGAATTTTTATGACACTTAATATTTTCTTTAAATCGTTGTTTTTCCTTCTGAAAATCCAGTATTTTCTTGTCAAAAAAGCTGATAAAAAATTTATGTTCAAATAAGTGGAAGTTTAAATGAAAATGCTTGGTCTGTGGTTGATTAAAATATGAATTTTATTTTTTGCAACATTTTTAATTTTTTATAACTTGTTTCTCATGGTATCAAATGTTTATGCTTTATGGTGTAATTTGATTCAGACATTTTCTATTAATTATATAATAATCAATTTTTATATCAAATAAATTGACATGAATAGGTTTAATTAGTTTTTTTTGCTAGAACTGTTACTAAAACAAGCTACTTTTAACCTCTGTTTGATCTAATAATAGAAATTCGCCCATAGTTCGTCAAGGAAAAATATTACATCCAATCATTATATAAATGTTTGAAATCTATACATATAGGGTGTTTTTTATACATTAATTGTAAAAAAGATGATAAAATGCTAAAGGCGTATAAAAGATTTATAAGAAAAATATTAAATTAACGAAGATAAAAAATGCTATGTCAGACTCGTAAATTGGAGAAAATCGCTTCAATTCTAAATATAATTTATAATAATAGTTAAAAAAAATTGGGGATTTATTTAGAATGTTTGAAAAGTTGTTATTAGGACATACATTTTTGCTTGTAAAAAATTAACAGCAATTCAAAAAATTATTAATAGTAGGCACCGAAATAGATTTTCCACTAATCATGTAAAATAAATTTAAATCCAATATTGTTAGCTTAAAAAAAAGGTGAAGAGAGAAAAAGTAAGCTTTACAATTTTATTTAAATTTTATTATTCAAATTCAACAATCTTTTTTTAAAACATTATTTATCACATAAAACAGGAATAAATAAATTCAGGAAAAGAAAAGTAAACAATAGAATCCTTTTAATACTAATATTAACATATTTACAACCAGACTGGCTATTGGCTAACATAAAATATCCCAGAGTTTTCAATCTGAAACGAGTTAATGAAGAAGAAATTTTATTTCAGCATAAAAATGAACAGCATAAAGAATATATCTAAGTGAGATTTTAAAAAAGTCCTAGCAAGCGATTACTGGTGTAGGGCCATAATTTTTTAGATAGCGTACTAATAAATAAGAGATATTTATTCATTAAATTATATTTAAAGGAAAGATTTTTAACTGTTCTATATCTTAGGATAAGAATGAAAGGATTTTCGGAACATGCTTTTTTTTTTTAGCACCTGCAAAAGGGAGACTGAAATCCGCTCTCTTATGTGTTTCAATTTGTTATTACTTATATAACCTCTTTTTTTATGCTGCATTTAAAAGTGCCATCTTGTCTTCATCTGCTTGCAGTTGTATTTGCCACACATTTCTATACCTTCTTTTTCTTCTGCTATCAGAAAGGATAGTAAAATGTGAGTTATTATCTCCCTCGACATTTTTAACATAGATTCATTATTTCTGCCTTTTGCTCACTTCTTCTTTCATATTAATAATATTTGCTCTCTTAAATAAGAAATTGATTCATTTTTTATAGACCGAAAGATTTTGAGGACTTTTCTAATGTTTCTGTTTGGTATAGTATTTCTAATTTTCATCCAGATTGAAAGGAAACTGCCCAGTTAAAATATAATTATGAATTACTTACGCACATGTATTTTAGTAACGAAAAAAAGAAAGCAAAAAGAAATTGTACATGTATCCAAACAATAATTTGTACTTTGGGATTATCCCGTCGATCATTTTCGCCAAACCCGATGTTATCGCCAAATAATTTATAATATTATATATGGTTAGATTCAAGAATAATTCAATGTGTAAAAAAAAAATAGCGGTTTTTACTTCTTTTATTAACTATTTTTACACTTACATTTTTTTGTTATTATTATTTTATTGTTATTATTCTATGATAAATTTAATGTGTTTAGAATGTTTATTTTTGGAAATTGCTTTCATTATGATGGCGCTAAAGGATTTGTGCAGTTTTGCGAGCGTTGACAGGTCGACGGGATAATCCCAAAGTACCCAATAACTACACATTTAAAAAAATTATACAGCTATACATGTATCTCTGACCTACTTCACTTTAATTATGAAAAACTCAAAGAAATTCAACTGAAATTTAATTTAATAAATATAGTTTAGTACAAAAAATGTTTTTTTCAGTTTTAAGAGAGTTGTTAATTATTGGTATTTTATTTTTGTCTAGGTTGTAATCTTTAACAATTAATGTAGCAAATTGATATAATCAGCTCATAACAGTAACCTATGAGAAGAACCTTTTCCCCCACAAAGCAAACTTTTTTTTTATAAATTTACTTAAGAAACAAATTGCAGCAAGTAAAGTCATATATTATAATGTTACAACATAAAAATAATTACCAAGTCTTACCTTTTTTTTAAATAAAAAAAAGAAAAGGTTTTTACTTCTATCAAGTAGTCTATTTGCAACACAAAACTAAGTTTTCAATAATTATGTACTGTAAGCAGTTGTATAACTAACTGTTTCTTCATATTATTTCAAAGAGCAAATATTAAATCTTAAAAACACTGCTTATTTCCATATTCGTCAGCAATAGATAAAAATATTTTAGTAAAATAAATCGGTAAATAGGTGGTTTCTCATCTAGGAGAATTACTTAAGATAAGAAAATAAAAACATCATTGACAAAAAAGAAACTAAATGTGCCATGAGGTCTAAGCATAGAACTCTGGAATCAGTAAACAATAATATATATTTGAATAAAAAAGTTTCATGGGATCACATTTCAACACTGTTAAATCATTTAAGTTGAGCATCTGTGTTGACTGTTTAATACATGTATTTTCTTGGATAAAATATAATATGCAGGCCAATAAAACATGCACAATAAACCAACTGCAATAAATCATCAACACAATAAAACAATAATGCAAAACTGATGAAAAACACTCACCATGATTTCTTTCATGATGAAGCTTGTTTAATCATTATATTCTAAAAGTAGAAAAGGATTGGTTTAGTTTTTTAAAATAGAAAAGTTAGAATCTTTTCTTATTGAAGTTGCAAATAGTAATAATAATTGTACAGAAAAATTTTAAAACATATATAGGTAACATTAGCTTCAAAGTCACTTTCTAAACTGTAAGAAGTTAATATTCACAGTGAATTAATCATAAATGAGTACAATAAATAAATAATGTACATAACAATACCTAGTATCTTTTCAGGGTCGAATGGCATTTTATAAACCCACAAATTTTAGGTCTTGCTATTGGAAAATTTGGAGAACATGGAGTTTATAGCACAGGTTAAACGATACTGGAATAATATTTCCGACTTTGATGTACAATAAGAACTAAATTAGGATATGCTAAATTGCTGTTTATTATTCATCCTCTTGTGAGCAATGAAGTTTTTATTTTATTTATTTATTTGGAAAGTGATCTGACCACTACTAGAGAACTATGTTTGCAGTACTATTGGAAATTAGGAAGAATAGATGTTGGGTGAGAAAGAAGCATCAATTTAGTAACGGCCAATTGACCAATGATGGAACCAAGAAACCTTTATGGGCTCATGAAAGAATATCTATATTGTTAAGTTTGTTTTTAACAATAATGTTAACATCTTTTGTTGGCACTCTCTATGCATGTTTGTCATATTGCACAGTATATGGTGAACATTCTATGCGATTTCCGACACAACTACCTATTTAAAACTTGTTTATCATAGTTGTACAAACTGGTACATAAAGTTTGCAAACAACTTTTCTAGACTTAAATCAAAGGGTTTCTTTAATGGTTAAAAATGCAAGAAAGAGGTATAATTATGGGTATATAATCTTAAATGAAGAAAAAATCTATTATTAACTGACAAATTGCATAAAAACTAAAGACCTGCATGTGGAAAATTATAGCTTTGGTTTAAGTAACAATATTTTATAAAGATGACGTTTTGTCCCCATATGTTATCTTGTCATTTTAGAAATTTTTTTTATTTTCTTCTCAAAGAATTTGCTTTATAAAAATTGGTATTTTAGTTATCTTGTTAATTAAAAAACATCTATACAAAAAGCTTGATGAATAATAGAACATAAGGCAAACTACAGAAAAAGACAAATTAATTGACGGGAAAAGTTATTTTTGGTATAAATATACATTTGAAATTGGTAGGTTACTGTTGTATTTTTTTTTAGCAGCATGCGTTAGATTTTTAGTATTCACAGTGAAATAATCAATTTAATACTAAGAAATAATTAACTCAAAAAACTTATGGCTATTGTTGCAAATGAAATTAAAATAAATAAAATAAACAGAAAACTTACTTCTATAGCATTTTGAACACATCAAAGGTTTAAATAAATACTATTTTTTGGACTAATTAAAGGTTTTTTAACGAAAAAAAGTAGTTCTGATATTTAATTATAAATGTAGTTACTAAGCAATCGACATATAGCATAAAAACAAGACAGTACTGTGGGATATTCATGAAATGTAATACATTTTAAAATAGTGAGTATTTTATGGTAATTTTTAAATAACTACAGCATATTAATATTTACCTTCATTGGTTGACAAGCATCTAATGCAGCAACACCTAAACTTCTTAATAAAACAATAGGAGTGAATTCAGTCTTATATATACGGTTCAAAGCGTCTATGGCAAACATTTTCGGTACAACATGCCTTTGTCTCTTAGTCTCATACTCCAAAAGATAGTTTATATCTTCTATAACATAAATTTAAAAAAAATTTAAATTCAAAAATTCTTCATAAATTTGTTTAATCAACAAAGATGGAAAAAATTATAATAAAATTACATTAATTAGAAATTATTTTACATCAAACATACATATTCCTTTTCACTCCGAATTGGAGCATAGGAATTCTATCATAGCTTTCCATCTCACTCTATTTGTGGCCAGATATTTTGTCTTTCTCCATGTCTTTCCTATTGTTTTCAATTCGTTTACAATCGTCCTGCGCCAAGTATTTTTAGGTCTTCCTCTTTTTCTCTTGACCTGAGGGTTCCAATCAAAAACTATGTTGTTACTTCAAATTTTTCAGTTTTACGTAGAACATGACCAATCCATTTCCATTTATGCTTTTTAAAGAAATTATTTTAAGGAACTTTTAAAGTGACTTAAGTTAGTTAAAAAATAATTTTTCACAATTATTTATTAGCTGTTCATCCCTTCACTGGGTTAATAAAATGAGTACCAAGCATGCTTGGGAATGACAGTAGGCCCTCCATGAACTGTTGCACCACTGAGTTTAGTGGTATCTAAACCCTTCCATTCCAAAAAAGATTGCACATTCTCACTTTAAAATGTTGGAAAGGAAGAGACTGTATTATATGCAATGAAAAGCTAGTGAAAAAATGGTAAAGAATTAAAAATCCAGATTGTTGCATTTGTCCAAAATAAAAAAGCATATATCCGTGGATAAATCACTGCAAAAATTTGATAATGTAGAATTGTTAATTGAGTATACAATTGTTTTTCATAAATTAAATAAATTCCCCAAAACGTTTGAAGCTTGCGAGTAAAACTAAATGTCTGAACCACATATATAATTAGTGGATGGCCCTTGATCCCTAATTTTGCATGATCAAATTTTGAAATTTTTCCTAGATAACAATTTTTCTCAGATTAAGATAAAATAATGTAGTATCAAAATCTAAATCTTCCAATTCTTGAAGTCGATTATTTTTAAATTTGCATTCATAGAGAAGGGGATGTTCTAAACATAACATAAAATCAGGAACATCAGGATGAAAAACTAAATATCGAGAAAAAATCTTTTGCAAACAGGGAAATCAGCGAGAAAAACACAAAAAGCTATGAAACCTGAGTTTGTCAAACTAACAGAAGCAATCAGTAATAGATACATTATAAAACAGCTTCAGATTATTTAAAAGAATGTTGACAAACAAAATTAGTTAAGAAAGAAGAATTTGATAAAGAAATATAAAAATCAAAAATAAAATTACCCAAAGTACTTCCATCATACACAAGTTTTTCAAGGCATTCTGTGAGGCATTTTACATCACCAAAGCCTAAATTGACTCCTTGTCCAGCTAACGGATGTACACGATGAGCAGAATCGCTATATTGAATTAGTCAAAAGGTTAAAAGAGTTAGTTTAAACCTTATCAATTTATACAATTTTATTGCTTAACAAATGAGATCAAAATTTAACCATGCATGTTTTTTGTTTGTCAAAATCTAACAATAAAAAAGCATCAAAAACATAAAATTGTTTAAAAGACATGCTGCTGGATGCCGATTCATTTGAACCATGAATTAAGATTTTTTTTTAAAAATACAATTTGCTGCATTTGCTAGAAAACCAGCGCCATTGTCTCACCAAGTTGCAAAATTAGTTACTATGTTTATCAATGGATGGCACTGATAGCTAAGAAAAACAGTAAAACAAGGATTTCTGCTGAATGGCAGACAACTTAAATTGAGTTGAAAACTGATTTGATTGTTTTATTTACTTTTTATACTTTTTCTTCATCAGAAACGCCACCTGTTGATAAACATTGTAACTGATTTTGTATCATGCTGAAGAAAAAATCTGGTTTCTTTAGCAGAAAACAGCAAACTATACTTTTCTATCTACTCCCATATTTTATAAATTAATTTTTGAAATCATCTGTCCTTTTTGAGACATTTAGTATTTTAATAGTAGTATACGTAAAAAATTATTTTTATATACTAACCCTATCAGAACAACTCTGGGAGCAACATATTTCGTAGAGTGACCAAGACCCAAAGGAAAAGCTGCTCGACTATTTGACTCCACAGATAATATGCTAGGGGGAAGTTGACGTGTTGACCCATATCCTAACAATTTAATTAATATATAAGAATAAAAAGCATAAATACGAAATTACTTATAAATAATAAGTTTGATTAATTGTGTTTTGAGAAAAATATTTTAATGTATTTCACAGACTACAGAAAATTTAATTTCAAATACCACAAAAGTAAACTAAAATATACTATAGATTTAAACTATTTACAAATCAAAAGTCTTAACAAATTAAGGTAACTAGAATAAATTAAATGTTTAAATGTTAAATAGATTGATTTTTTTTAAATAAATTAACTTGAATTCAATTAAAATAAAATTCTTTTGTTAACTTATAAAAAACAGCACTTTAAAGTCAGACATACTGCAGTAGTTTTGGAAGAAAACAAAAGTATAATAACATAAACTTAAGAGCCAATCTGAGGATTTAATATTATGTTTAAAACAATAATTTAGTAAAAATTCATTTAATCAAAACTAAATATTTTTATTAACGTATTTCACTCATTTCAATTGCAAAATGCAACAAAAAAAATTTTTGAAAAATTCCTTTGTTGAAAAATTGACCTTTTAGTTCACTATTATAAAAATTCTGCGATTAGTGAATTACAATTAAAACTAAACAATGGTAAATAAACTGTACAAAGAGATTAATTTAAATTTTTAGAATAACTAATATTCCCCATAAAAGATTTTATTTTATCTTATAAAAATAGTAAATAAGCGTATGACCCTCGATTCATCCTTATAAAATTTCATGTTTGGGAAAAATTAATGATCCAAACTTTTTTTTCCTATGGATGATTCCTTAATTCAACACATAAAATTTTTACCATTTTGAAATTGTTATTTAAATCTATTTACAGTAGGGAACCGATTATCCGGAACGGTCGGGACCATCGCTATTCCGGATAACTGATTTTTTCGGTTTTCTGAATCGCTACAAAAAGCCGTTTTTTTTTATTGTTAAACCCAACTAAAAAAAAAANTAACAATTTAATTAATATATAAGAATAAAAAGCATAAATACGAAATTACTTATAAATAATAAGTTTGATTAATTGTGTTTGACAGATTGAATGAATTTTACAGACTACTGAAAATTTAAATTCAAATACGACAAAAGTGAACTAAAATATACTATAGAGCAGTGACTCTCAACCAATGTGCCGCGGCACTTTTGTGTGCGGCCAAACTCTTAAAATGTGCTGCCAAATATTAGAACTGATACAGTAAAAATGATGATACTTTTTCTTATTATGAGTAAAGTTTAAATTAAAGAAAAGTGTATATAATATTATATATATATCTATACTTTTTCTAATTTTTCCACGATTTAACAGTGCGAACATCTTTGTTGGCGATTGTCTTGTCTCTGACAATCTTAAAATAAGATGGAAGTGTTTAAATTGTATATGACACACAATTTTAAAAAATTTTGTATGAGCTAATCATCAGAGTGAGCTATGCAATTAATAAACAAATTAACAAAGGATAACTAACAAAAACAACAATAAATAATTAGCAAAACAATCAATAATTAGCAAAAATACTAGTTAACAAGAAATCACAAAAAAATAACAGTTAATGTAAAAAAAAACTAACAATTAATAACAATAGAAAACAAGCTAACAATTAATAACAAGCAAAAAAATAAATAACTGTTACTAACTAATAAAAAATTGATCGAAAGAAATAATTAATCCCGTAATAAATGTGCTTTTGTAGTACATATTATTTAATTTCACATTCAAAATTATTATCACAAACTATTTAACACAGTGTAAAATAAGTAATTAAACAACTTTTAATCTAATTTTTTTCATTGTGTGCCGTCAAATTTCGAAATCGTTAAAATTGTGTCGCAACAAAAAAAAGGTTGAGAATCACTGCTATAGAGTTAAACTATGTACAAATCAAAAGTCTTAACAAATTAAGGTAACTAGAACAAATTAAATGTTAAATAGATTGATTTTTTTAAATAAATTAATTTGAATTCAATTAAAATAACAAATTTTTGTTTAACTCATAAAAAACAGCACTTTTAAGTCAGACATACTGCAGTAGTTTTGGAAGAAAACAAAAGTATAATAACATAAACTTAAGAAACAAGTTTTCTAAACTTTAAATTATACAATGTTAGTTACAAATGATACTACTATAATAACAATTACAGTATAATGAAATTTTCCTATTAAATGAAATATAAATTGAGTTAATAATTCTAGAAACATATTCAATAATTTCACTTTAAATTTATCACTTTTATGTCATTACTTTCTGAACTGATGTTCCAGAATAATTTTTAACTAAGAGCAATCTGAGGATTTAATATTATTTTTAAAACAATAATTTAGTAAAAATTCATTTAATCAGTACTAAATATTTTTATTAACGTATTTCACTAACTTCAATTGCAAAATGCAACAAAAAAATTTTTTTTTGAAAAATTCATTTGTGTATGATCTTTTAGTTCACTATTATAAATATTCAGTGATTATTGAATTGCAATTAAAACTAAATAATGGTAAATAAACTGTACAAAGAGATTAATTAAAATTTTAAGAATAACTAATATTCCCCATAAAAGATTTCATTTCATCATATAAAAATAGTAAATAAGCGTATGACCTTAAATTCATCCTTATAAAAATTCATGTTAGGAAAAATTAATGATCCAAACTTTTTTTTCCTATTAATGTTTTTTTCAATTAATAGATAGTCCCTTAATTCAACACATGAAATTTTTACCATTTTGAAATTGCTATTTAAATCTATTTATTATAAAGTGGAAAAAGCTGCTTTTCCCGGATTTGTAGAATATAATTACATCAGTTTAATTTCCAATCAAATGTAGATTAATAACTTCAGGACCATGATCACACAAATGTAATCATTTGATTCTCCCTTTGTGGTTCAAATCCATAGTATAATATATGAAATGAACCTTTTTGATACTATTGCCTCAAGATCACACGGACGTGATCTCAATTCAGTATTGTCATATTAAATCTTGTATTATTAGGTATACATATCCTTTAGTATGCATTAGAGCATGCAGGCTTGGGAAAACGGTTTTTTTTTTTAAATTGTGCTTATCCTGAAGCGGTTAATAGAGATAATAAAGAAAGATGTAATTAGCAAATAAAGAATAAAAAACAAAAATCTTTGGAACAAATATTTAAGAAAATAATCTCATAAATGCTAACTTAAATATGTGCCATTAGGCAAATACATATTAGGAATCTTTAATTTTTCAAAGCATCAGCTAAATTTTTTTTCCTTTATTGAATAGTATTTTTTAAATACCTTATTTATCTTACTTTCACCAATTCGGATAAAATGTTGATAAAAAAACATATATGGAACAACTTCGCTTTCATAAATTACATAAAATTATTTCTTATAAATAAAAAAAAACACATTTAACCTAAAAAAAAATTTTATTACTAATATTTTAAAGTAATTTTAAGTTACAAATTCTTTCAATTACCTGGCGATATAGATGAAATCACATTCTTGAACGTAGACATTGCGGACTCCACAATCGCATTTTTACCTTCTTCCTTCCACTAAAATAAACAACAAAAAATAATAATATACAGAGTGTTTGGTAAAATCAGATTTCAATATTTATTTTTAAACTCGTTATCAAAAATGAAAACAATAGGACACTCAAGTGAAATTACTAATCAATATTTAAGCGAGAAAAATGAAACATGTAAATAAAATCCAGAGAATCCTTGTAAAGACCAACTACTGCAAAGTAGAAATTTAAATCTTTAAAACTAGTTGGAAGCTGAAATTGGTTTGTAAGTATTTAAACACCATTGAATAAAAGAAATAAATATGATAGTACAACTATTGGTACATAATTTTTTTCAAGACAAGTTTTTATAAGCTAAAATCCAATTTTAGGCTAATTATTTAGCTAATTAAATTTTAGGCTAAAACAAAAAAAAATATAGTTTGTATATATATCCTAATGTTCAGGTTTTCTAAGGTTATTTATCTCATTTTTTTTAAAAATTGAGATAAATAACCTTCTGATTTTTTAAAAATATAATAACTGGAAAATTTTGCAGAATTATCACTGTGAAAAAAGGTGTTATTTTTCAACAAAAATTCATAAATCTTTCTCTATAAATGATGATGAATAATAGTGAAATCTTGTAAGGATGTAAAATTGAGAATCATTTTAATGCATTAGACTCCACAAAAAGAAAATATGCTGGATAGAACTCATTCTACCATCAAGTGCAAATTTCTACATTTGTAAGTAAAGCACTAAATAATTAAATAGAAATAAAATAAATTTATGATTTGATTGGTGCTAGAAAAATAACACTCTTAAAAATTTCTTTAAAACATAAGATAGAAAAAGAATTAATATTTCAAAGAGCTTACTAAAGCTGAATTTAGAGCATCTACAAATTGCTCTTCTGGCATTTCAAGAAGCTTGTCACACATGGGCAAAGAAACAGTCCATACCAAAGAACATAAATCGTCTGTCAGCTAAATATCAGAAATGAATCAGTAAGTTACTTTGTATTCTTATAAAATTTGTAAAATATGTTTATTCATTATTGTTCTTCAACAGGAATATGAAGTTTTAAAAAAAGAAAGAAAATCATATTAATAAAATCTGTTGTCCAATTTAAGAATATCACACGTCACAAATAAATAATCGAATGTTACAGATAGTCATCAATTAAGTAAATGAATTGGCACTGAAATCTTGTCTATTTACGTCACCGTTGTCGGGACTTGTAGCAAAGATTCAGCATATCATAGAAAACTATATCATATAATTTCCAGTACAGAATTGTCATTTTGCTGGAAACGATATTCACTTAACATTATAACTTTAATGTACCTTTTGTACATTAAAAATATTTTTTTTTAAATAATTCCCTTCAAATTCAAAAATGCTTTGATCATTACACACATAAATGAAATAAAAATAATCCATGAATGGCAAATTGAAAAAATTGTTATGAAATAGTTCTATGATTATAATTCAAATAGTTTCTGGGTGTTTTTCCTTCTGCTAAGAAAAGGCTTGAGAGAAAAATGTACCTTAGAAGAACCCATTTTAAAATTATTTTTTTATTACTTCATAGTACACTTCATCATAATGAAACTATGTTTTTTTCAACATTTATTAAAACAACATATCTGAGATTAAATTTAAAGAGTAGATCAAATTTACATCAACATTTAGATGAAATTAAATTGGAGATCATATCACACACATAAAATAATAAAAATTTAAATCAATTTATTGCTTTTAAATAAATAAATATTTTAGAGTTTTCATTTTGTGTAAAATTTTAAATTTAAAAGAGAATTAAGAGTTTCCGCTTCGGCTTTATATGTTGTGTGATTAGTAATTTTTAATATTTCAACAGTGATTTTGTAGAGCAATATAAACAAAATATTGTTTTTTCTAATTCTTATTTAATGTAAAAGTTATAGTCAAATATTTTTATATATGCCACAAAAATTCCTAAGAATTATGAATGATTATTTAAACGAATTTCGAATGCAATAAACATTTTGTTCAGGATTGCTAATAACCAAACCACATCTATGTATCTTATAATTGATATTACACAGCTCCAAATAAAAAATCAAATATAACATAAAATAAAAAAAAATTGCATTCCAAGAAGACATGAAAAGGTGTAGGATAAATTCAGTCTAAGATTAATGTATTTATAATTTTTCTTTCTCTTTTATGTAGGACTTATAAATACACATATTTTAAGCATATAGCAATTTAGGTAAACATGACTGAGTTTGGCTGAAATGTTTCATTTTAAAAAGTTTACTCTTCAAGTCTGTTTAAAAATATAAGAATCATACATAAACATGCAACATGTTAAGAATATTATAGCTAGATTATATCAAAATTATAAAGTAAATTATTGGAAAAGAAAATCAAGCATCTGAGTAAGAATTTAAAAAAATTTTTTTTTTAAAGATGATAATAAAATGAAACGAGGAATAGTGAAAAGGAATTATTATTGCTACTAACTATGAAAACAAAAAAGATTTTATTCAAAGATAGAGTAATCACAAAATAAAACATCAATACTTACTGGTAATAAAGCTATTGGTCCACTTGGCAAAAAGCGTTGCCATGCAACAATATTTTCAGTAGGCTAGCAACAAAAAAAAAAAAAGATTTAAAAGTTAAACATTGAAAAACATATTTGTGAATGATAAAATTTTTTCTTTAGTATTAGATTTCTAATTATCAAATACTAAAAAAAAAAAGTTAAAGAAACATAATAATAAATATTGTGTAAATGTATAGCGTATAAATGTATAATGCATAAATGAATAATGTATAGGGTGTCTATAAAAGAACTCCGGGGTTTTAAAAATTCATATCTCAGTAACTATAAAAGATAGCAAAATTTAGTCGATTTCTCTGAAAAGAGTAGCTCAAAAAGTTTTACTCATACCAATTGGGAATGTTTGTATCAACTGTTGGCGGCGCTGCAGGGCGTTGACCTTGAAATGACGTCGCGAAATTTGAAATGATGGCGACTCCGCAACAAAAGGCTCAATGTGTTATTTGGCTCATAGAAACGAAGTCTTTAGTTACCGTACAAAGAAACTTTTGACGTAACTATGGTGTTAACCCGCCTTCTGACAAAACCATTGGTCAATGGTTCAGTGCATTTAAGGAAACAGGAAGTGTTTTGAAGCAAAAGTCGCCGGGTAGGCCGAGTGTGTCTCAAGAGAAAGTGTTAAAAAAAACTTGAAGTTACTAAGTGTTAAAAAAAACTTGAAAATGTAAGCTTTTCAGTCATGTATAAAACATGTATGCATGTTTTTTATTTCATTAAAATATTTTGCCTCAAAACCCCGGAGTTCTTTTATAGACACCCTGTATAATGCATAAATGAATAATGTATAATGCATAAATGTATAAATAATGTACTTATTGAGTAGATTCCAAGTAAAATATGAAATCTATGACTGTATATGCCTGTTAGGATGCTTTTATTAACAGACTGAATGTTAAAACAAATAAGAGAAGAAAAAAAGGGTTTCAGTTATGTGATTTAACACGCCAGTAAAATTTATTTAATGTCATGGACAAAGACTGTCTTGTCTAAAACAAGTATCGTCGTCACAGACAAGATAAAATGAAGTTTGCTTCTGTTTCAGAAGTGATGATGTTATATGCTGCAGAACCAAAATCGTCATTTGCGCTAATTAAAATGTTCCTTGTCAGAGGGAAAAAGACTTTATTTTTTCCATGTTATCCTAAAGGGAATTATATGTCCAGAATTTCGTAAGTTATTTTGTAATTAAATGATATTTATGAATAATTTCATTTTGTTAATTGAAATTTATTCTATTGAGGTTATTTATTAAATTTTAGGAAATAAATATTTTTTAAACTTAAACTTCAAAAAGAACTGAACTTAGACATAATGTGTCAAAGTTAGCCATTTCATGCATTCGATGCATGAAAAGGCTGATTTGGATTATATATATATTGTTTAAAACTTTTGCTTGTTTACTTAGTTTTAATTCCCATGGCTCCTACTTGATATTGCCCAACACAAAACCAATTCAAAGGGAAAAAAATGGTAACATATTATCAAACATCGGCTATCTTTAAAAAAAAATTTTTATCAAAATATGTAACTATACTATTTGATAAAATAAGTAAAATATGTATTTTAGACATTGCAACTTCTGCTCACTATTTATTTTGCAAACCCAAATTCAAAGTTGTTTTTCAAGATATGAAATACAAAATATGATATACAATTTTAAAAAATCAGCACTACATACTAAAGATAACTATTTTTTACTATGTAAAAATACATACAAGAGTATATCCTAATTATTAAAAACTTTATAAATCTAATGTTATTAAATACTTAATCAATTTGAAATAAAGTAAACATGAGTTAAGGAATGGGGAATAACATTCATAAGGAAATATTACTGAAGCAAACCTGCCAATTCAAAACTTAACTGATAAATAAACTGTCATTTGTCATATTTAATTATCATTTGTATCACCAAAAACTAAACTTAATAAAAATTTAAAAAAAAGAAATTTAATTTTTTTAAATTTTTATAAACTATATTTTCATTTTTAAAATGAAATATAAGCTTTTACTATTATTTTGGTAATCATTTTATGAACAAAATTAACTGCCATAAATGTGTGAATAACGATAATAAAATGAGCAAAAAATTATAACACAATTGAAAATAAAACAATTTAATTTAATGATATTGAAAGTTTATTTCAACAATGATAATAAATAATTTGGCTTTAATTTAGAAATATTGGGATATTTACTTTTATAATATTAATCATTATATAGCCAGTGAGTACCAATTGTACAAAGCTAGAGGAAGAACTAACAATGTTTTTAGTTGAATATGCTATTACATGGTTGGCAGATACTAAATAAATTTCAGAATAGATACAACCTATATTAAATAATTACTTCAGATAATTTTAAGGTTGCGACAATGCCCTTCTGCTCATAGTTCCAACCTATGTAATTAACATTCATCTTCTTCCGAACTAGTGAGTTAACACCATCAGCTCCAATCTATAAAATAAATAATAGAAATAAGTATTAATCAATCAATGTCACACTTAAATTAAATAAATAATTCAAAAATAAATTTATGAAAAATAAAATTCTGTTATAATGACAACTTAAAATAACAAACAGNTCATATAATTTCCAACACAGAATTGTCATTTTGCTGGAAACGATATTCATTTAACATTATAACTTTAATCAGGGTTGCCACAGAAAAAAATGAACAAAATAGTTGCTTTTAGTAGTCTAAAACATGAAAATAGTAGCCAAAAACTAGGAAAATAGTTGCCTAAATAAAAACAAAAATTCATCAAAAATATGACTAAAATTTTGTTAATGACTTAATTGTCATATACCATGATCCATTCAGTCAAGTTGGTGGCAAATATGATAATTTTTATATAAGCGTAAATGTTTGTATATATGAAAAGTGATTACTCAAATTCGAAATTCACGCATCGTAATATAGTATAAAAAAAATTTTCCTTCTTTTTTTTAAAAAAATCATGCAGAATTTCGTAGCAATAATCATTGAAAAGACAATCGACAAATGAAATAGACTTACAATGGAGTCAGTGCAGATTGAACGAATTAAAAAGTGAAGACTCAGATTTGCAATTCAAAATGTTCAACTTTTTTTATTTTTTATGAAGAAAAAAAAGTTCAGTGTGTTCAGAAACTATCTTGTGGGGTGCAAATTTTTCACTCAATTTATGCTTTAAAAAAAAAAATAAATAAAAAAAAATAAATAAATAAAACTTCGCTAGGCGTTTAGAAAAGTCTTCCAATAGTCTCCTTTTCCTGAAAATAGTTGCTTTTTTAGCCTTTTCAGGCAAAAACAGTTGCCATAGTCGCCTTATTCCAAAAATAGTTGCAAATAGTTGCCTGTGGCAACCCTGTTAATGTATCTTTTGTACATTAAAAATATTTTTTTTTTACATAATTCCCTTCAAATTCAAAAATGTTTTGATCATTACACACATAAATTAAATAAAAGTAATCCATGAATGGCAAATTGAAAAAATTGTTATGAAACATAGTTCTATGATCATAATTCAAACAGTTTCTGGGTGTTTTTCCTTCTTCTAAGAAAGGGTTTGAGAGAAAAATGTACATTCAAAGAACCCATTTTAAAATTATTTTTTTTATTACTTCATGGTACACTTCATCATAATGAAACTATGTTTCTTTTAACATTTATTAAAACAGCATATCTGAGATTAAATTTAAAGAGTAGATCCTATTTACATCAACATTTAGATGAAATTAAATTGAGGATCATATCACACGCATAAAATAATAAAAATTTAAAACAATTTATTGCTTTTAAATAAATAAATATTTTAGAGCTTTTATTTTGTTTAAAATTTTAAATTTAAAAGAGAATTAAGAGTTTCCACTTCAGCTTTATATGTTGTGTGATTAGTAATTTTCAATATTTCAACAGTGATTTTGTAGAGCAATATAAACAAAATATTTTTTTTTCTATTTCTTATTTAATGTAAAAGTTAAAGTCAAATATTTTTATATATGCCACATAAATTCCTAAGAATTATGAATGATTATTTAAAAGAATTTTAAATGCAATAAACATATTTTGTTCAGGATTGCTAATAACCAAACCACATCCAGGTATCTTATAATTGATGTTACACAGCTACAAATAAAAAATCAAATATAACATAAAAGAAAAAAAAATTACATTCCAAGAAGACATGAAAAGGTGTAGGATAAATTCAGTCTAACATTACTGTATTTATAATTTTTCTTTATTTTTTATGTAGGCATATATTTTAAGCATACACAAATTTAGGTAAACATGACTGAGTTTGGCTGAAATGTTTCATTTAAAGAAAGTTTACCCTTCAAGCCTGTTTCAAAATCTAAGAATCATACATAAACATGCAACATGTTAAAAATATTATAGCTAGATTATATCAAAATTATGAAGTAAATTATTGGAAAAGCAATCAAGCATCTGAGTAAGAATTTTTTAACATTTTTTTTTAAGGATGATAATAAAATGTGAATAAGAATAGTGAAAAGGAATTATTATTGCTACTAACTATGAAAACAAAAAAGATTTTATGCAAACATAGAGTAATCACAAAATAAAACATCAATACTTACTGGTAATAAAGCTATTGGTCCACTTGGCAAAAAGCGTTGCCACGCAACAATATTTTCAGTAGGCTAGCAAAAGCAAAAAAAAGAAATGTTTAAAAGTTAAACATTGAGAAACATATTTGTGAATGATAAAAATTTTTCTTTAGCATTAGATTTATAATTATCAAATACTAAAAAAAGTTAAAGAAATATAATAATAAATATTGCATAAATGTATAATACATAAATGAATAATGTATAATGCATAAATGAATAATGTATAATGCATAAATGTGTAATGTAATGTATAATGTATAAATAATGTACTTATTGAGTACATTCCAAGTAAAATATGAAATCTATGACTAAATATGCCTGTTAGGATGCTTTTATTAACAGACTGAATGTTAAAACAAATAAGAGGAGAAAAAAAGGGTTTCAGTTATGCTACCTAACACACCAGTATAATTTATTTAATGTCATGGACAAAGACTGTCTTGACTAAAATAAGTACCATCTTCAAAGACAAGATAAAATGAAGTTTGCTTCTGTTTCAGAAGTGCAGAACCAAAATCATAATTTGCGCTAATTAAATGTTCCTTGTCAGAGGGAAAAAGATTTTATTTTCTCCATGTTATCCTAAAGAATTTCTTCCAGAATTTCTTAAGTTATTTAGTAATTAATTGATATTTATGAATAATTTCCATTTCATTTTGTTAATTGAAATTTATTCTATTGAGATTATTTATTAAATTTTAAGGTTGTAAAATTTTTTTATCAAAATATGTAACTATACGATTTGATAAAATAAGTAAAATATGCATTTTAGACATTGCAATTTCTGCTCACTATTTATTTTACAAACCCAAGTTCAAAGTTGTTTTTCAAGATATGAAATACAAGATATGATATACAATTTAAAAAAATCAGCACTATATACTAAAGATAACTATTTTTTACTATGTAAAAGTACATACAAGAGTACATCCTAATTATTAAAAACTTTATAAATCTAATGTTATTAAATACTTAATCAATCTTAAATAAAGTAAAACTTGAGTTAAGGAATGAGGAATAACATTTATAAGGAAATATTACTTAAGAAAACCTGTCTATTCAAAACTTAACTGATTAATAAACTGTCATTTGTCATATTTAATTATCATTTGTAACACCAAAAACTAAACTTAATAAAAATTTTAAAAAAGAATTTTTTATTTTATATTTTTATAAACTATATTTTTATTTTTAAAATGAAATATAAGCTTTTACTATTACTTTGGCAAAAATTTTAGGAGCAAAATTAGCTGCCATAAATATGAATAATGATAATAAAATGGGCAAAAAATAATAAAACAATTGATAATAAAACAACTTAATTTAGTAATATTGAAAGTTTATTTCAACAATGATAATAAATAATTTGGCTTTAATTTAGAAATATTGGGATATTTACTTTTATAACATTAATCATTATGTAGCTAGTGAGTACTAATTGTACAAACTTAGAGGGAAAACTAACAATATTTTTAATTAAATATGCTATTACATGGTATGCAGATATTAAATAAATTTCAGAATCGATACAACATATATTAAATTATTACTTCAGATAATTTTAAGGTTGCGACGATGCCCTTCTGCTCATAGTTCCAACCTATGTAATTAACATTCATCTTCTTCCGAACTAGTGAGTTAACACCATCAGCTCCAATCTATAAAATAAATAATAGAAATAAGTATTAATCAATCAATGTCACACTTAAATCAAATAAATAATTCAAAAATAAATTTATGAAAAATGAAATTCTGTTATAATGACAACTTAAAATAGCAAATAGAACTGTTGTTATAGTAAACTTGTTATTAACAAACATGCATATTTAATGTTAAAGCAGCAATAAAAAAATTAAAAGATGACATTGAAAATTTTACTTTTTTCCCTTTTATTTTGAACAACTGTTTTGACTTAAAATATAGATCAAGAGTAGACTGTTTTTGCCTATAGATTGTAAAAGACATAGGAAGCTTTTACAAGATGCAAGAAAAAAATGAAGTGATAAGCAATTGTTTTTGACTTCAATAATAACACTGAATATTAATTTCAATAGGATGCTGTTAAAAAGGTAAATAAGGGACATTGATTATATGTGGTCAGCAAACAAACTCATTTTATTGAAGAGTGTTGCAGAAATTTTAAAGATAGACAAACTTTGTAAAGAAAAAAAAATGGCTGGTGGTTTCTCACACATAACTTTATAAACATAAACATGAATTGATGTCCGTTTTTCTCTTTTCTGTAACAATACTAAAAATGAAAAAAAATCAACTTTGCCCTTTTTTGTACGATGCTGCTCACTTAAACGGTAGGGGAAAAAATGGATCTTCTTAAAAAAATTGCTATAATGGGTGGCTAGTAACTTTCAGCTTGTCATAAACATAAAATTTATCTACTTCTAATATTAGAATTTTGATGGTGACTATAATAGTGGATGTTTCATAATATGTCAACCAAACAAGCAGAAACCAAACTTACCAGCGTGTAGCAAAATGTGGTTTAGGTTTAAAAGTAAAATACTAATTTAACAATTAACAAAATTCGTGAAGAAGCAAAATCTTTAAAGTTGTGCTTATAGCTTGAATCGAATAAAATAAAATTAAAAAATATATATTTGTTCGAAAAAAATTGAAGCAAGTAACATGACTTTTTTTTCTTTCCTTAGCATGGAGAAGATACAAATTGATTGGAATTATTTAGACAAAAGCTTATCACCCAGTAGAAAGGAATTAAATTACATTAAAAAGAATAAAGGGTAATATTTGCTGTTTACTCAAAGCTTTAAGTGATAAAGAAATTTGTTAGTTACATGCTTGCAATACTCAATTATACAAATAAAATGTTACTGTTATAAGTATAACAAAATTGATAACAAATTAACTAAAAAATTACAAAGAATAATAAAGTGATATTAGCAAAATATCATGCCTTTGTATAATAAGGATCTTCTACACTTTACAAAAAAATATTTTATTTCTTTACTGTCCAAATAAATACTTAATATATGCATAATACTAAATATTTATATTGCATTCCATTGTTTAAGACATTTTCATGATAAAATAATACCTTTTTGTGAATAATATGCCCTATTTATAGCTGCTGAAAATTTGTGACTGTAGACCTCTGTATTGAAAAGTGTTTACAAAAGAAATATATCCAATAAGAACTTAAAGTAATAAGAATTATATCCAATAAGTAAATAATAATATCCAACAGCAACTCTCAATCTGCTAAATAAACTAGACAATTAACTTTTTAAAATGTTTACCAGAAGTTTTGTCTTGAGTGAGATTCCATCATTTAGGTTGACAGTCACCAAATCATCCTTTTTAACGGGAAGAGTGTAATCTTCAGCCTTAACTCCTCGTAAAACATGAACATGATCAGACAGATTATCAAGTGTAGATGAGAGAGCATTAAGAATGACATCGTTTTCTACAATGTAGGCAATATCATCCTGAAGGAATTCTTGCTGAATTGAAATTCTAGCATCTGAACAAGCCTCCCAAACCTATAATATTAGTGAAGAAATACACAAAATGTTTCACACAGTAAAATGATTAGTAAAAAACAGGAGTTTTAAAAGTGATGTTTGAAACATTTTAATAGTGCAATAATTTACTCTACATCAAGTATGCACAACCTTTTTTTTTCATAGTGAGCCACATAAAGTGAAAAATGCCATGTTTCGGACCAACTTGAGTAAGTTATAACTGTATCGTAAAAATGCAAGGTTTATTTAAATCCCAATTGAAAGTACAGTAAACTCCTTTACAGTAAGTCCGCGCTTCACTTTTTTTTTTGTTACACAACATAGCATTTAGAATTGAAAATAAATAAATTCAAAGAGATTAAACTATTTCAAGAGTTTTGATAAAAAAATTACTTCCTAACATTCATGTTCGTAGCCCAGGTGTTGACAATTAATCAAATAATGGGCCTACATTTAACTATTGCAGCTTCAAGTGCAGTAATAACCAGCATTGAAAGGGGGGAAATGGTGAGGCATGTATAAAGAGAAAGACAGCGTGAGCCGTGAGTTACAGCAGTCGAACAGCAAATACAGGACAAAGTTCAAATCTCATTGAATAGATTCGGAACCCATAAAAGAAGTTTCTTCTCCTGGACTGTATTATTATTTATTAAAACAATGATATTGATAGCAATAAAAGAAATTTTTTTTTTCGGTCTTGCCTTCATATGTTGAATTGGAATGAATTATCCTCACTTATTTATTTAGTCAATATGTAACACATTCAACGAACTCTTATTAATTATAAAATTGATAACTAACAAATGAGAGTGGTCGCCACACAACACTTATACCAATGAAAGAAAAAAAAGAAGCATAGCCTTGAATAAGTTATGGGCCATATTCATGATTTCAGAATTGTTGTCAGCTGTTTATTTTTAGTTTTGTCAATGATAAGAGTATCTAAAAATTTAATAAGAACTATTTTACGAGTTTCAAACACTGTTTTGCGCTTTCTTTTTTTCAATAGTGTATGAACTCCCGAGTTAAAAGTCTGTTGTTCCAGTTTTCTTTTAGCTTCCTGCCTTTCCAACACCAAGAAGCAAAAAAAGTTGATACTTCAACTACCACTAAAATATTAGTAATAGCGATCAAAGCCATAATAGTGAATATATTTAGTAGTAAAAATGTGAATAGCAATAAGTATATTTACTCAGTTATCAAAATTTTTTTTGGAAAATCATGAATTGTAAATGATTCGCTAGAATTCAGTAATATTCTTTAGAAAATGAGATTTAATTTATTATTTTCAGAAGTGATAGCAAACAAAACGTATGAAAAGTTTTCGACTAATCTCATTGAATAGATTCGGAGTGTATATTTAGAATTCAATAAATAAAAATAATAAATATTTTATGAAAAACTTCATTAAGTAAGTCTAATTTAAAATATTTGCAACATTTTGTTCCTTCCAGAATTTTTGAGAACCAACAGAGTTATTAACTTCATTTTAAGCTTAAAATTTTAAAATAATAAATTTACATACCACCATCTTTTTTACTTCTTTCATTCGCAAATTACAAATTGTTTCCCATGCTTTGAAACCTATACATAAGGAAAAAAAGTTTAAACATTTTTGAAACTTAAATAACAATGAAATAAATTCCACACATTATACTTTAAACGAATATAAAGCAAAAGAAATTAAAATGTAAAACTTTAAGAATAAAACATCCTTGAAGTTAGTGTTTAAGTAAAAAAAAAATTATAGTTTTGATATGATATTAAGTACAATTTTACAAAAACATAAAAAATTTCGTGACATAGGTGTATATATTTTTCATTTTATGCTTTGTGAAACAACTTCATATTGAAATTTAGCTTTTGATCACTGATAAGAATTCATAACAATGATAATTTAATAAAAAGAAATTTTAATGATGTATAATATTTTAAAGACTGTTTTTAAATATATAGAAACAAAACTGAGTTCTTTTAATTATTTATTTAGTCTATTATTTATTTAACAACTTGAAATATTTTCAATGAATAAGTGTAAAAAATTTAAAGTTAGAAAAAAGAAGTGGCAAAAGTGAATTACTAAAAAAAAATGAAAAAACACTAAACAATTTCTAACAAAATTATTTTTTAATTATTATTTTTTTAACAAATCATTATACTTTGACAGTATGCAAAATATCAAAATTTTTCTTTAATGTCAAATAATTATACAATAAATTATAAATTAGGCTTATCACCAATTTAAGTACTTCATAAAAATTGTTAACGATAATTTACAGTAGAATAACAATTAAGAGCCACCTTAAAATTTTAACAAAAAATGTGCTTTTTATAGACAGGTGGTTTAATAGTACTTATTGTAAAATACTAACTACTATTATGTACTAATACTAATTATCTTGTTAAATACTAACTAGTAAAATTACATGTCTGATATATTGTAAATCAAATAAATGCGCTTTTTATTTATTTGTTTTTAATGAAAATATCAGCACGATCATAACTTGTGCAATTGATGAACAATTAACAAATAAAATTAAGATAAATGAAAAATCAATAGCAAATTCAACATATTTATGAATCCAGAAAAATTCTATATCAATAACAATTTTTAAAAATGCAAAATTTTTAAAAATGATTTTTATTACTATTTCAATGGTGATGTGGTTAAAATTTTATTATGGCTTTAATATAATTATATTAAAATTAAATATGTTCTGTAAGAATAATTTAAGCAAAAGATAGTAAATAATATAGATAAGAAAGCTAACAAGAAAAGTTTCAGAAAAACTAATTAAATTCAATTACTGAATTTGTATTATAAAAACACAAAATTAGAATAAGAATTAAAATAAATATATAATAAATACCTTCAAATAGTTCCTTTGTGCTATTATTTAAAGCAGTTACTCTATTGGAATACCTATTTGGATCAATAGGGTAATGGCTCTTAGGACTTGATTCCAGCAATAATATCTTCTGTTCGGCCAGTATAGATGAGCTACCTATAATATATAATTTTAAAACATTATTAATTGCCACAAAGAAATATGGTAAGATTTATATTTTTGATACAGAAAATTTCTGAATACAAATGTAGCAAGAAAAAATTTTACTTCTATAGTTGGTAGGTAATAATGACATCCTATAAAATAAAAAAAATAACGAAAGAAAGAAAATGAGAGAGAAAAACACACACTTCCTTGATTGATTTTTTTTGCTTTTTTTTAACAGTCACTTTTCACATAATAAGTTGCAATCATTAACTATTTTTTTGAGTGAATTAATTATAATTTGAGGGGCTTGCTTAGATTTATTTGAAAATGCTCAATAATCCAAATGACACTATACTTTCAATAATATATGTTATAAAACTAGACACAGTTTAGCCATTAGGAGACCCTGTGCAAATTTACAATGTGAGATCCCTCCATAATTGTTGTTTCATTACATACTTCTCTTTTATTGTATTATCCAATACCTTTTTGAAAACCAAAGCAGTTGATAACATTTTCAGAAGTTTGCCTTGATCTGAAAAATAACTTTGATGAAAAGTTCAACTAGCTGCTCTGTTAAAAAATTAATATTTTGGCAAATAAAAATAATTCATTATTTTCTAAATATGATTCTGTTTTGTTAACTATAATTTTAAACAGCCCTGTTCAGTTAACTATAATTTTATTATTATATATAGCCAGCGAAAGAAAGGTTAACATCACCAGAAAAAATACAATGTTATAAGGATGTTAATCATACAAAACAAGCTATTTAATTTTCAACAAAAAGTAACAGTTAAAAAGAATGTGAAAGAAGTTATTCGAAATACAGCTCCCACCATCTTATTAAATGGTCTTGCTTCCCTCTAAGCTTATTTGAGATCTAAAAATACCTAATATGATAATAACAACAATGCATAATCATTCATGTTAAAAAAAAAGAAAAGATTCTTCAATAAATGGCAGCATAAGGCAGTAGCACATGAGGGCCTAGAAAAAAAAATATTAAAAAAAAAGTTCGAGAATGGAGTCAACTGGAAAGAAAATATGTATAGCCTTTTAATTTATTCTAAATACAAGAACTGCGAAGAAGCATTTGATTAAGTTTAGTTTTCATGAACAGTTGCACATGGAAATGTCCCCATTTGTATGAGATTTTAATTACAGCAGAAGTCCCCTTGAAACAATTCAGGGATAATTTATTACTAAAGCCCGGATTTTGATGACATTTGCATTTTTTGTCCTTTAGAGCATTTTTTAAGATTAATAGGGCATTTTTTTTTTAAATTTTGGGGCATATTTTTCATTTTAAAGCATTTTTTAAGTTTTTTGTTAATTTTTTTTCCAATTTTTATTATTTTTTGGGGCATTTTTATTACATGAAATTATAATTTGTCTTCACTCAGAAGATGCTGCATCAATTAAGATAGCGCAAAACGTGTTGGCCTCTGATAAAATCGAAGGAAACTTATCATTTATCAAGTCTAACTTTGCTATTGTGTCCTCGACAATTACAAGCTTGGAGAAACAAGAATTGGAACTTTGCGATGCAATAAATTATATTGACGTAGTGAATCAAGTGTTCCAAAAAGCAAGGGGAAAGATAGCACAAAGTGCAGCAGCTAAATTGAACAAAGTTTTGGAGAAGAACACTGGCTTCCAAACAATGAAGAAAATATCTAGGATATTAGCAGGTGAAGTAACATCTTTTCAAATTGAAGACGAATTGATAGTAAGTGAGACCGTCTTTTTCAAGTACGCACCAATAACATCAGTAGACGTTGAAAGAAGCTTCTCCAGGTATAAAAATTTACTTTCAGACAAGAGACGCTCGTTTACATTTCAAAATATCAAAAATCATTTAATAATCCAATGTAATTCTGATATTTAGTAATATTAATTAAAGTTTCTATGCAAAATGAAAATGTTTTGGAGTCAATACATTTTCCTTTTTGTTGTCGTTATTTTAGGATATAAAACATATTTTTCAAACTTTAATGAGCATAGAACAAGTATTGCATTGCTTTATATTTCTTGAAATGACTCAGAATAATTTTAAAGAGTAAAACATTGTTTTAGTTCAATATTTTTACTTTATTTAAACCATGTCAGAAGGCATTTTTAGCGCAATTTTCGCACTTTTTAAGGGCATTAGTTGAGATTTTTTAGGTCATCAAAATCCGGGCTCTATTTATTACTTTTCAGAAAACTTTAACTGTCATACATTATAGTAATTAGCATAAGTTCTTCACTCACAATTTTAAAAAAATGTGTTTTGCAGAAGTATATTCTAAGTCCCTTTTTTTTAAAAAAAGAAAGTTAACATGATGTGAAAAATTAATATATTGTAAATATAAAAACGTTATTAATACCCAATGATGCAGCTAGAGCACATCCAACCATGCCACCACCAGATATAATAATATCCCATTTCGTTTCTGCAGTTTTACTCAAACCTTCAGCTTTATTACTTAAGTACCTTGAATTAAATAAATATGGCTTCACGAATATTAATGATTTACGAAACATGTTCTTCCTGATAATGGAACAACACTTCATTAAAATTTACAAATTGAAAGTACAATACAATTTTGACAAAACAAATTAGGGAATCTCGAAATATTAAAGATACTAAATCATTTTTTAATATATGAGGAAATAAAAAGAAACACGTCTATTGAGTTTCAAGTTCTTATTATGTTCTTTTTTTTAATTATTTCCAATAATTTTTACTTTTGATAATTTGGTATATGAACTTTTAAAAAATCGTCTTGTTTATTTATTAATCCGTGCAAAGAACGTTTCTGGCTACTCGTTTTTGCTTGGATTAAGATACGTTAATTTAGTTTTTTTTAATAATTAACATTACTACTGACAGTGTTTTATCAAGAAAACATTCATGGGAACAAAATATTTTTTTTATAAATAATAAGAAGGGTACTGTTTGCGTTCTAAAATTCATTAAGATTTGAATGTTCCATATTTTGGCGAGTTAGGTTAAAGTGACATGGTTGTTATGAGCTATTTCAGTTCTTTGAAAATCTTAATAAAAAGAGTGACAGTAGAAGTATATAAATAAATTTGAATTCTTATCGAGATTGCTAGAGCTAAAACAACAAGAACATAGAAAGAGAATTAAAATATTCCGTTTACTGCAGTTTAAATTTCTGTTTATCGCCTAGACGTAATTGTTTAAAAAATGATTGAATGAAAACGTTGTGTTTCAAGCTGCCATTAACTCTGCATTTTAAAATATGTCATGTTATCTTGATTTATTAATCTTTATTCCGTTTTAAAAGTAATGGATGGGCTTAGAGATAGCAATAATTATTCAATTCCTATTTATTTTAAAGATCAAGCTAATGATCTAAAAAATATCGAAGCCGAAGCTAAACGAGCTCTTCAGAATATCAATTCCCTCTATGAAGAAATTATGCACACTGATTCCCCTGATAACTTTGAATTCGAGAATAATGTAGATTCTAACATAACCCCTTCCACCTCTACTTCTACAACGGATAAAAAACAATACACCGCTAAGATAAAGAGGTTTACTGAATCATCAAGAAAATTTTACTTTCGGTCTCAGTTACCTTTAACTCATTGTTTAGGTTGTCATGATCATTATTATGACACTAATATAACTTCTAGATCTCTATCAACTGAAGAAAAGTTTAACTGTGATTCTGAGATACATCTCTCTAAAGAAAGTAATGCTCAAAGTTCTAAAGATTCAGGCAGCCCCCTTAAAATAACTAAACCACAACCATTTAAATTATCTGGCTTTGATGAACAAAGGCTTGAAGCTAAAGAACGTAGGTTGGCTAAGTTAAGGGAGGAAAAGGAACAGCAGATGCAGAAAGAATTGAATGTAAAAGTTGTTAGCAAACCAGTGCCAAAGCATACTCACTTACCATTGTATAATAAAATGGTGGAAAAGAATGAAAAAAGAAGAAATGAAAGAAAAGAAGAAAGTTTACGAGTCATTGGAAGAGGAAATAAATCTTTGCCACAAGGTGATGTTTTTCAAACTAATGTAACATTAAAATCTCTTCCATCCGAATCAAAATCTTGTTTTAAAGCTACACCAGTGCCTAAACATATTTTAAGCAATAAAGTAAGTGAAAAATTAAAAAATAAAGAAGAAATTCGCAAGATGCTTAGTGCTCATAGAGCTGAAGAAATGCTTAAACAGTCATCATCTCCTCTTTCTAAGAAAACTATACCTAGATCTTTTTCAATGTTGAATTTGAATGATTACAAAAAAAATGATGAAAGAGATAAAAGATCAAAACCTAATATTACAGCTATTACAAATAGATTGTATACAAAGAAGTGTAAAGAAACTATGAATAATTGGAATGATAAAGTAATGAGATATTGTTACAAAGAAAATGAAATCAAGTCTAATGTTACAATTTTAAACAAATTTAAGCCTCAACCTGAACAATCATTACCATTCCTTTATTATCCTGTCAGAATGTCAACAGCAGCTTCTTTAAGAAATAAACAGATTCGGTAAATAATATTACATACACTTATGAACACTGAGTAATATTTATCAAACTTCATGTTTTATTTTGTTTCTTTGATATTTTTTTCGTGTTTTTATTTATTGTTCATTAAATAATATTATTTAACTAAATGTCTTCTTCTTTGGTTTCACTTTTTAGGATTTTAAAAAATCCAAATGTGTTTCTTGTCTATTAGAATATCACCAGTAAAATTAGGGATTTATAAATTGTTTTTTATACTTCTAAAATTAATTTACCATCAAATTCTAGTATGTAATGTACATAGGATTAAGGCTTTTATCCCATATCATAATTAAATATACTGGTTCACATATCCAACATATTCTTGTTGTGTTAAAGTTAAGTCTCATTTTCTTTATAAAGATAGAACAGTTTATTTCTATAAAATAATAATTTGGTGTTAGCTGCAATTTCCAAAATAGTACAAAGGATGTACTAAGATTTTACCTAATATAATATTTTATCAGTTTATTTTTGAGAACTGCTTTTTTATAGAAACATTATATGGTATTTACATAGTTAGATAATATAGACGCACGCCGTGCAAAGATTCATAGGCAGAGATTCTCCAATTTTGGAGACACTTTTTAAATATTTGTTGTAATACAGTAGGGAACCAATTATCCGGAACGATCGGGACCGTCGCTATTCCGGATAACTGATTTTTCCGGTTTTCTGAATCGCTACAAAAAGGAGTTTTTTTATTGTTAAACCCAACTAAAAAAAATTTTGGGGGGGGAAATAATCTTAAAAAGAAGAAAAAACGATGAAGTAATACACTAATNATTTCTATAAAATAATAATTTGGTGTTAGCTGCAATTTCCAAAATAGTACAAAGGATGTACTAAGATTTTACTTAATATAATATTTTATCAGTTTATTTTTGAGAACTGCTTTTTTTATGGAAACATTATGTGGTATTTGCACAGTTAGATAATATAGACGCACGCTGTGCAGAGATTCTCCAATTTTGGAGATACTTTTTAAATATTTGTTGTAATACTAAAAAAAGTATCCATACCAAAAAAAAATGCATTTTCAGAGAAGAAACAAAACACAGATACAACATAATCATAATTTATGCAAGGTAGAAGAAGGTTGTTTAGTTGTATGTGTGTGAAAAGATAAAACTGTTCGTTTAACTCAAAAATTAGTGATCCCATCATTAGCGGCATGCAGACAACTGGACACTACTTCCCTTACAGCAAAAATAAACAATTACGGTGACAGTAGGAAATCCTTTAATGTAATTTCGTTTGTTAATAAAAATGAAACCTAGTTACCCGAATTTGACACGTAAGGTTAAATAGAAATTTCGTAATGAAGAATTGCGGGAGCAAAATTATTACTACTGCACTTAATTCTTGATATGATAATTACTTACCACTAAATGTATCAACACTTTACAATACCTCATGCAATAACCGGTCTTTTGACCATTTATGGTATGTTTAGTGTTAATATGAATGGAGTTCTTTCTTTATTTTTGTTTATAATTGTTAGTATTATTCTTCCTCTAATGTTTTTAGGTGCATGTATATATATATTTTTTTTGTCAAGAATAAATAAAAATGTTAAATAATTTTTCGCTTTTATAATATAAAATCGTTCTGTACTAAATAAATATTGTGAACCTACAGATACTTTTGGATTCTGTCTGCAGATACTTAATTTTTTTACCTTACTATAGGTATCTATCTGTAAAGCACAGAATATATAATTACAATTATATCTTATAAAACTTTTTGCGTCATTAGTGCTATTTACAGGGATGAGATTTATCCGTTTTTTAGCGGATTTCCGCCTTTTTCGCTTTTGTCGCTCGAATTTCAGACTTTTTGTCAAAAACTCAGATTCTCTAAAAGTTTCAGTTTTTTTAATTATTATTCTGGTTTTTTCTGAAAATTCAGCCATTGAAATAATATAATTATGTTTATTTCTGATTTGATATATAGATATAATATATCGAAAGATGTATAGAAAATTCAAACTTCGTAGCTGCCAACCCTTCGGCATATCTACTTAATTTAGTTATTAGCTTCTAGAAGCAGAAAATAAGATTTTCCTCATTTTTGCCCGTCTGCTAGATAGCTCGTATTTTCGTAATCCAGACGTCGCTGCATTTTAATATCAAACATCGATTTTCGTATTTACCTGATTTGAAAATTGCGCATTGCGATTCCTATTCTCGCGATTTCAGTATCATTCATTGCAATTCTTCTTTACGAGATTTAAAAATCCAATATCGCGATTTGTATAAAGACGTTTTTAAAATTCTATGTAACGATTTCATATTCATGCGGGTTTATCCAATGTCGTGATTCGTTTTTGCAGTTGTAATATCCAACTTCTATTTTCGTATTTACTTGATTTAAAAATTAGGCTTTGGATACGTATTAACACCAATTAGAAATTATGTATCGTAATTCGTATTTGCGCGATCTGAAAGTTACGCATCATGATTTGTATTTTCACATTTTTGAAATTTAATATCGAGTTTCATTCACTTATTTCAGTATCGTGATTTATATTCACGCGATTTTAAAATCCGTTATCGCGCGATTCTTGTAAAAAGCAAGTTTTTTTTAAAAAATTAGTTACTATAAATGTGGCAGTTTTTCTATCGGGGATTATTGCTATATATAAGCATATCAACATCAGCCAAAACTGGATGAGAATATGTTACTGATCTTTTTGCTATAAATCACGTAAGATGTACTCGTGTGAAAATTCAGCTTTTTTGCCTTTTGACCAATCTCATCCCTGTATTTAATAAATATTTTTATTTCTTTTTTCTGTTAAGTATACATTTTTATTTAGATAAAATTTCTTAAAACATTAAAATAATATACTTATATACTTTTTTTTTAAATTAGTTCATATCTAGAGCTTTTAATAAAATTAAAAATAAGTTTATTTAATAAAATTTTTTGCTTAATATTATAAAATAATATTTTTTTAGATTGGAAAATTGGTATTTTTAAGAGAAATTTCTGCATTTATAAGTTCTTAAGGTTTATATGTAAATTTTTAATCTGGTGTAAATCATGACTGTCTGTGAAACTTCAAATTTTACTTTCGGATATTTTGGGTTCATTCAGAGAGTGACCACCCTGAGTATTAACTTATTCTCATTTATAGTTTTGTAACCTGTCTAAATGTTTTATTCATTTTTATTATTAAGAATATTTTTAAAAAAATATGTTGCAACTCAGCTTAGTCTAGAAAGAGTTGTTACAAATTGTGCTATTTATGAATATTTGAATGGAGGTTTTGCATATAAAATGACATTCATCATTTGAATAATGCAAATCAGGATATAAAATTGTTATTTATGCAAAGAAAATATATAAGTGAGCATAAGAAGTAAAATGAAGAAAAAAAAAGATTTGTAAAATGTTTATATTTAATTCATTTACTGAAAAGTTATATGAACGAGGACTTAAAACATAAAAAAATTTTTAAGTCGTAGGGTGGCCTATCACTATTATTTCATGTACTGAATTAAAAAACTACAATTATATATCAATATTAGCACAGATGACAATTTTCCCCTTCTTTTGCATTAGTACACATCCAACTACATTTTCATTTTTGTAACATTTTTGTAGAATCTTTAAGTATTCTTGAGGAAATATAAGAATATGTTCTTAATATTTAATAAAAAGTAAGAACACTATAAAAATATTTCTATTTCCTACATCAGAAATATATTCCTAATATTTAATTAACATTTAGGAAAAAATTAATGAAAATTATCTTTTAAAGCAAAATAATAACCTAGTAAAAAAAAAAGTTTAAGAGCAGTAAATATGTAAAATCAAAATGCAAAGTTATGAGTAAGATATAACTTATCTACTAAATTATGCCCATTAATACACTTATTTATAAATAATACTTTTTATTTTAATGCATTATATCACTGCTATTGAAATAGTCATAATAAGCTTTAAAAAAAAAATTAAATTCAGGCATTCTAAATAACAAGCCCGAAACCATAACATGGTTTTTTGATCCATATGATATGGATTTATTTCTGAGGCTTTCAAATAAAAATCCCACAAAATTGTGTTGCATTAAGGAGAGAAACATAGATTTAAACAAATTAGATATTATTTCCAACTTAGTTTTTTACTCTAAATTGAATGAGATTAACCAGCAGATGATAGGGGATACAGTTTAAGCTTTTATAGTATAATATAGTTTTTAAATACAATTGGTACTTATACCTATTTACGCACCTGTAATTACTATTTAAACAAGTATGGTATCTTTCCGATGTATTTTTTTTTATACCGAATTGAATGAGGCAATATCTGAATCAGTTGGAGTAATAGTTTAAAGGTTATTATGGTTTTACTCCAAGTACAATTAAAAAATAGTAATATTTATAAATTTAAAAAACCTTGCAATTTCTGAAATATTGGTCCTAGTGACTATTGTTTAGTTTCATTTTATACTACAGCAAAAAATACAATTCCCTTATTTAGATAGTAATGCTAGATATGTAAACAGGCACAAGCATGAAACTCGTATAATCCCTAAACTATTAGTCCTATCATCTTGTGTGTTTAGTATGATTTGATTCTACTTTTAAAAAAACTACACTTGAAATCTAATTTGTTTATGCGTCAGTATCCTAAGTTTCATTCCTCTTTTACTTCCTCCTGCCAAAACCTGCAACAGAGGTCACCTGTGACCTACATAATATTAATGAACCTCAGCTTATTATTTTGCAGGTCTAAATCAAATCCTAATTTGTCTGTTCTATGTCTATGAATTCTCGGTCAATGCAACAGATGTCTGATTAATAATGTTCAAAATTGCAATCTGGTAATTTTCAAGCCAACTCAAAACTCAAGCATCGGAATAGACTTGATGCAGAATTTTTTAAATAAAATTAACTCCTAAGTGTGTTGAACAAAAGTGTATCTTAAGATTTATCATTTGTGATATATGAAAAAGATAAAAGGGATTTTAAACTGCAATTTCCATATTTTTTCCTGTTACAAAGTTAAACAAACAAAACTTTTGAAAAAATGTTAATAAAGTGCACAAAATGAAAAAGAAAACACCTTAATAACTTCTCATCAAATGATTGGATATTCTCATACTTTGATGCAATCTTAATGATTTTAGGATATGAATAACTTACTAAATTTTATTAAAGTGCTAAATTATTTGAGCAGAAGATATTTTAAGCTCCAAAATCTAAAGAGAAATTTTTTTTTTTTTTTTAATTAGACATGAATTTTTTAAAATTTAGATTTTTGACCTTGTCAATATTGGAGATAGCTGCAATCTAAAAAACTAAGATCTCAATTATTTAGGCATTAGAGTAATTGAAATACTTACACAAATATTCAAGTTAAGTCCTTTGAAATATTAAGATAGGATCTTAGCACATGAAATTCATTGATTAGATCAAAAGTTATTAAGTTTCTTTTTTTTATTATTATTTTAAGTACTGTATATCTCAAACTGTAGTAAGTGTATTTTTTATAGAAAAAAATACAAAAGATAGGAATTAAAAATTACGTTGGTGTATACAATTACATTTCAGTTGTAACTAATGAATTCTTAATAATTTTATCTTGAATTAAACTTCAGAATCAATTTGTTAACAAAATTTTCTAGAATAATATTCCTGATAGCACAATTTTAATGACTGTTGATTTTTGTTACTTGTTATTTTGGTATTAAAGATAATGTCAGTTTTTGAAAATGATTAAATTTTCTTTTTAATTGAAATTAGGCTTCATTATTAATATTAAAAGGAATTATATTATTATTTTTATATTTCTGTCATATTACATACCATATTTATTTATAGTCACTTAAAATCTGATTTTTTTTTTCGTAACAGATCAGAAATAATTGCAAGAGAAAAGAAAGAAGAATATCAAAATAATGAAATTAGTGAGGCTCAACAAGAAATGCATGAAGAAATTTCGAAAAAATTGCAAAAATTGCTTCCAGATATTGATCCTGATAGAGAAATCGAAGAGAGAGTGAAAAATTTCAGGTAGATATATTTTTAAAAACGAAATGAGTGTGTTAATTAAAACAGGTTTAAAATTATTAATTTTTTCATAATGTACATGTATTGAAATCAACTGTAAAAAATTGAAACTTACTATTCTTTTGCATTTTAAAGTGGGCAAATATTGTTGCTCTTACAGAGATTAATTATTTACTAAATTTATTATTTACACAAAATAATTGTATATTAAATTGTATCTTCATATTGAAATTTTAAATTACATTTAAACTTTCAATAGTTAATATCATATTTTTTTTAAATTTGCGTCTTTTAATATGCTACCTATAAATTGAAACTTCAACAGCCTTCAGCTAAACAGCAACAAATTATGAAATAATTTGTTGCTGTTTAGCTGAAGGCTGTTTGTTTGGCTGTTATTGAGTTAGCAACTGTATGGCATGTGTCAGTTTTTGACTATTTAGGCCATGTATAAAACTCTAGTCAAACAACTACATCAAAAAACATTTTTTATTTATATATTGATTTAAAAGTATATTTCAGATTGTGTTTAACGTCTAATAGTAAATACAAGCCTTGATCAATCATTCTTGCACCTTTATTTTGCTTGTATGTATTGTCTTGCTTTAATGGTTTTATCTCAAATGCTATTCTTATAATTTTAATTATTCCTATTTAAATCTTTTTTTAATCTATTAGATTTCTATGCCGATCGTTCAAAAACTCTTCCGATCTTTTTATTTTGAGAAGAAAACAGTAACTAATGGTGAAGAAGAAAATACGGATTTGTTGCAGTTTAAGACATCACATTTAATGCCTATTGATGAAAATGAGATTCGTAAAGTTGTCTTTTTCAAGAAATTATTGCACATGCTTGTGATGCCCGTAAAATGAAACTACAACTTTGCAGAAGGTCTCCGAACCTTTGAAACAATGAGGAACTTTGTGTATTTACATGAACTTATAGAAAATGAAAAGCAATCAGTAGAGAATGAGGAAAAATTTTCAAAAATTAATTGTTTGCCCTGAAAAAAAAAAGAGTGTGGGGCGAACAAAAGTTTCCTAATATTTTAAATAAATAAATGTGTCTTTTCACTTTTCTTTTGCAATATAAATATTTTTGACATAATTTTTTAAGCTAAAATTTTTAAAACTTTAAAATAATTTAGTGCAGTGAAACATGAGTAAGTTGGCCACTTGTAGTACATTGCTTAACTAAGTTAACTTTTAGAGGCGAGTGAGTAATTTTTTTTATATCAAGTTATTCTTTCATAGATAATAAATGAAGTAAATAATATTTGCTATCTAGTTTAATAGTTTTCCCAAATGGTCAACTAGTGAAGGGATTTCGGTTAGCTCTTAAGACTATTTTACTAAATCGGTGAAATTCTATTTCGCAACATTATAAAAAATTTCATTGAAAGCTTTTTCTTGTTGATCAATCAACTTATGAAGATTTTTAAAAAAAAAATCTATAACTGTTTTAGGCAAAATTACCCATTTCAGTGGTCAGCATGCAAGATGGACAAAAGGTCAAATTTCAAAGATTTCACATTTTTTTTTTTTTTTTTTTTTTTTTTTTTTTGTAATTAATAAGGTAAATTCAATTCTTGACAAAAGAAATCAACATAGACAGTCAGTCAACTTACAAGGGTGGTCAACTTAACAATTTCACTTTACTCAGCTTGTATATTATAAATGTTTAGACGAATTCCATTTCCAGAAGATGAGGTGTAAATATTCTAAAAGCTCAAAAAGTAAGATTTAAGAGAAATATACTTATTCCTAAACATTTTGGTTTGACGCATCTCAATTCATACAACCCATAATATTTTACCATAAGTATGAATAATTTAATATTTGATTTTTCTTGGGAAATAATCTTAGCTGAATTTTTGTTTATATATTCTAGGGAATCACAACTAAACAGGGAGGAGGAATATGAACATGAATTAGAAGAAATAATGAAACGAGTCTCACAGCAATATCTATTGATTGAAAGGCAATCAAAAGTATGTATAAAAATTACTTTATCTTGTAATAACTTTTCATTTAAATGAAAATTTATTTTTGCATTGCATTAATTTAAGTAAACACATACAGTAAAAGAAGACAGCAAAAATATTTTATATAGTATATCTTACTATGAAAGATAAATTAGTGAACATCAGCATTTACACAGCACTTTTGGTATCTGAGCAATGTTACATACGTCAGTGTTCTCCATAAACGTTTTTCGAAGGGTAGCATGACTTGCTTGCCCTTTATTCCCAATAAATGCTCCCTTTTTGTAAAAACAAGCTGACATCCCTTAAAAACACTGCCTTTTCATTCATATTTTAGTTTGAAAAAATTACTTTACTGTTTAAATAATAATTACACACTGGTAAAATTACCTGTGTTTATAGGTTTAGTTATGATTACTATTACAAATATTTACTTTGTTAGGATTATTTTTAACATGTTAAATTATTATGAGTATCTTTTTTGGGAAGGATATTATTAAATTTTTTAAGGGATTTTAAATCTATTTTTTAAATAAATACTTTTAAAAAAATGCACCTTAAATGTTAATTTTTTCATGATTTTCAGTTTACTTTTTACTGAAAAAAAAATATATGCACAGAAATTGCTTTTTAACATGCCTTTAATTATTTTTATAAATTACAATTTTTTTGCTTATTTTGATAATGTGGGAGAATTACTTTTTGAAATATGCACGTAAAATATTAAAAGAGGGTAATTTGAAAATTGTTGAGGATAAAATTCAGATATTACATTATATTACACATTTTTATAAACTTTTACCGTATTAAGTGAGTGCCCTTTCAAAACTCAAAGTGTCCTTTTCAAAGAGGAAGTACCCTACCCTTTTTTATTTCTGGGAAAAACTCTAATACATAGCAATATTTTTTAGTTAAAACAGCAAAATTTCACATGCGGCCTGCATTGATAGTGGAAGTTGAATAAAACCTTTTCGTTAGTTACGATTTTTTACTTAAGATAATAAGTGTATGCTGATAGTTGATATTTGTTGGTGTAGACTAGAAGTAAGTTATGATATTTAATAAAATTATTTTCTTCAACATTCCATCAGTAGTTCAAGCTGAATGTTGGCTTTTGATAGTGCAAGCGAGAACTAATGTCGTTTCACAAATATGTCCAACAACACTAAAACAACTATATGATTCATCAAGGGTTGACCTTTGCCAGGCTTCGATCTTTTGCAGTAACGTTTACACGCATGATTTTCATTAGCAATAAATTTATAAGAATTGGTTTTGGAAATAACTTTTAGTTTTAAAATTTGTATGATTTAAATTTATTTCAGATTTTTAACCAGATTCTTATTTTAGTTATTAAATTACAATAGTTAAAAAAAAGTTATTTCACAAAAGTACATCATTGATCTTCTATTTTTTTTAAAAAAAAAAATAACTTCATTTTGGGTTTTTATTTTAAAGTTAACTTATGAAGAATGTTTTATGACATAAAAAGTTTTTTATTGGTACCCTCTTTAAAATGGTGCCACAATGTTTGCATTTCACTTAATATTTTGAAAAGTGACACTCAAAAATAGTTTTTATTTTATTGAATAAGGGACCAAAATTGCAATAATTCAGTAGGCATTTGAAATTTTAAAAAAAAAATTTCACTGTTTCTCTGGAGTGTAGCTACCATTGGAGAAAACAGGCAGTGCCCTTAGGCCCCTGAGTAAAAGGGGACTGTAAAATACAAAAGTTAAAACAAATTTATTTTAATTTTTTTGTATTATTAGAAAATGATTTATTTTTTCATCAATTTTTTAAAGAGACAATACAGAACAAGCTTATTTATAAAATATCAATTTACAAAATTGTACAAATGCTATTTTTAAATACGTTCTAGCTAAATAGATGTTTCATTACATATTAAAAGCATCTCCTATTGAAGGGATCCCCTGATACTACGATGATACTATATTTATAAAATACATAAAAAGATAATCCTCACTATGTAAAATAAAGAACTGAAGATTGAATGATTAAATTAAAGTACTATTAATTATAAAAAAATTATTATTTATAAAAAATTATTAATCCATTATAGTAAAAGATCTAAATAACGCAATTCTATAAACTGCAATTCTTGTTGTGGCACATTAGCCCTCTCTAAAGAAAACCAAAATCAATAAATTTGTTGGATTTTATTTCGAATGCTCTTGACAGTTTTTTTTTTTTTATTTCTGTAAAGAATAATTAGTATAGTGCATATTTTTGTGTTTTAAGGTATTAGTATTTAAAAATTATTTTAAATTATTAATCTGATGTTTTCCACAAATATATTCCACTGATAAGTTTATTGTAAGTTTAATCTACATAATTCAAAATATATGAAGTTTCCTCGTGTAAAGTTTCATTATAAAGATCTTATAGTGTATTAAATATATACATTCAAAAACCTTTTTGATTGTTTTGCATAAAAGTAAAGTTAAAAACTAACATTGGACATTTATTGTATTATGACACCTTTTGTTACAATGAGTCAGGATGACATTGTTACTTAAGGTTGTTTTATAAAGGCTTCGTCGTCTTATAAAGTGATGCGTTTTTGTGAATAATATGCTATTTTCTTAACTGCTGTGAGTTAGTAACAGTTGCGCATGGCTGTTTAGTCTATCTAAGACAAGTTTAGTCTATCTAAAGCTACTGCTATCTTTGCTTATTCTGAAAATGACAGAAAACACTAATATGAAGAAGAGCCACTGTTTTGTGGAAATGAAAAGTGTTTGTGGTCTAATTATTTAATATTTAAAAACTTACTCCAATGCTGTATTATCTGGGCTTATAAAAATTTGCAAAAACTGAGAATAAAGCAGTGATTTTGATAATTTTCTTCTAGATGGAAAAATGTTGCAAAATTTGTAATTTGTAAAAAAGTTTAATTGCTTTTAGAATATTTAAACTATTTGTCCATTCTCAAACCCAGATAATTCTTCATGGCAAAATGACATATATAGCTTAAAATCATAATTTTGCTTCAAATGTAAGACACTTAAACTGTGGTTTTTATTTTCCTTGGCGACAGAGCTTTGAAAAACCATGTTAAAGATAAGATAATGTTGACTCAAGATAAGACAGCATAATTTAAAAAATGCATTTAACAAGTGAAACACTAGACTGTAATATAATACTAGACTGTAATATAGATTTTTTTCATTAAATAAAAACTTTGAAAATATTGATAACATTTTAAAAAATTAGCATTAATGATATTTGATTTGTGGCATCAAATTTTGCAAAAGCTGTGACAGTCAAATTTTGAAATTGCTTAATTGCAAGAATGAAAAACTTCAGAAGCATTGCTTTAATTTAAAACAATATTAAAAGTATAAATTAAATTATATTTAAATGTTTCTGATATAAATATTAGTCACCTACAAAAAAGGTTTCAGTGATATCAAATTGTTTATTCAACTATATAATTGTTATCAAAATGTTGCAACATAATTTGTGTTTTTTTTAAAAATGTAACTATTGGTGTAAAAAAAATATTTAAAAATTTTTTGTTACTATTTATTTGTTTAATTTTATACAGAAAGGAATAAAAAAAGCAAATAGCTTGAAAGATATAACATATGAAGAAGAGAACACATCTGTATTAAACAGTGACACTGATACCAAATCTGATCATTTAGAAGAAAAGGAATCTGTTTCAGAATCTGAAGAATCAGAAGATTCTGGATAGCTTTATTTTAGAAAATTATATGTGGCTTATATTACAGTTTTAAACAAGTCAGTATTTTTTAAAATGTAAAACAAAAAAGATTTTTTACGCATTTGTTGAATATATTTCTATGTATCAATTAAATAACTTTTAAAGATAAAAAAATAATTTGCAATATTTTGTATTTAAAAAAATTATACACTTGTGAAACTATAAAAAAAAAAAATTCCTTTGGGAAGTAAATAATTTTGGTTTTCTTTTCTGCAGAACTTTGAAACATTTTTTTCCTTCGAAATTTGTTCAAAAGATGCCTTACTAAAGAAATGGTCCTGATTTTTCTGTTCTCATTTGTGAATAATGAAGCAAATAATTTTGGTTTTCTTTTCTACAAAAAGTTTTTAATGTGTTTTTTTCTCAATAATTTTAATGTATTACGCGCATGAAAATTTTAGTGTATGCATTTGATTTTTCACTTTATCACTCACAACTCACACCGATTCCATCGTACATATACGTCATGCTTTGATAATTTTTTTCGGTAATTATTGTTGCGAATTATTACTTGGTTTTTTTAAATCTCGATGTCTTTTATCACTCAATTATTATTGATAATATCTTAATTTTTTTAAAAAATGCCGATATTATGGCACTCAATGTCCAAAAATCACTCTTTGATCTCTTTGATGTGCTTGGTTTGCGCCAATATCTTCTGTTAATCCTTCTAGTGTTTCAATCGATATCCAGACAATTATTGCTACAATTACGAATTAACATTATCTCAAATTTTAGTGGTCAGTGAATATGCACTTAAAACAAAGTTCACAATTCTTCAATTCCTCTAGTCATGTCTGTACCGATTTAAATGTTTATAGTTTTCTTAGTACCTTATTTGTAACAGTATTTATTCGAAAATATTATTTTTGAGTTATTTGCAGGGCTGATTGTGCTCCGGAAAAAATCCTGATTTCCGGAATTTTCGCTAACAGTAATCCGGAGATCGGAGGTCCAGACGTTTAAAAAAATCATCGATCACAGAAGTTTCTGGAAATCAAATTTTCAAAGGTGGAATTTAAAATCACAGTTTATTTTATTTGCTTGTTAAGAAGAGTCAGAGATATACTTTATAAGCTTACATTCATGATTAATATTAATTTTTTATCAGTAAATAGCTGTTATAATCATGAACTCAAGAAAGAAAGACATATTTGTAAATTATAATTACTTCTGTTCATCATAGGTATGTTTAAATGGTATAGGTATGAGTAAAATTTTAAATATAGTTTAAGTAAGCTAATAAATATTGAGAAAAAGGGAAAAAAAACCTTGTTTAAATTTTTTTCAATTTAAACTTTTTTTTTCCTTTTTTTTTTTAAAACTCAGGAAATTTTCTGGAATTTTGACTTGGGCTCACAATCACCCCTGTATTTGTAAATTGTCTCATTTTTCTGTCTGTTGGGTTACATAAAATTGTGTAAGTCAACATACTTTTGTGTGCAATGCAATTTTCTTAAAGTATATTTGCAATAGGGATTAATAATTTTTTTTGTCACCATTTTGTTTCTAAAATACATTATGGCAGTTATATTCTTTTGTTTGTTCAGCTTATTTACTTTTTTTTTCTATTACTATTATTGCTCAATTTTATGATTTTATAATGTTTATTAAGATAAAGTTTCCCATGTTATCAAGCATTCTATTTAATATTTGGGTTGCCCCATCTCTGATTCTTTATTTATTATGCCACTTAATCACACTATAGTCTTGGAGGAAAATATAATATTTCTAACAGTCAACTTGTTAGTTAAATACGAGGGTTGCTATTTATATTTCTGGCCTAATAATGAAAAAACAAATATGTAGGATCGAAATTGGTTTTATTGTTTTTCAAAATATTCTCCATGATGATCAATACACTTTTGAATGCGTTTGAACCAATTTTCAAAGCACTTTTTCCAGTCCGATTGAGGTAACTCCAAAACATGCGTTTTGAATGCATCAACCGCTTCTTCGGGGGTCGAAAATCGTTGTCCACGCAATTTATTTTTGATGTGGGGGAATAAGAAGAAGTCATTGGGTGCCAAATCAGGGCTGTACGGCGGATGACCTATCAGTTCGATCTTTCGCTCCATCAGAAATGCCTTTGTTTGTCGATGTGTGAGAGCTCGCATTGTCATGATGAATAATGATTCGCCTGTTCTTCTGCTTTTTTCGAATTTCTCCGATGACTTCTGGCAAACAAATGGTCGTGTACCATTCAGAATTGACCGTCCTGCTTTGCTCTAGCACCACTGTTGCTACATGACCGTTAATGCCGAAGAAACAGGCAATCATTTGTTTCGATGTGCTTCTTCCTCGAACAACTTTTGTTGGTTTTGCCTCGTCTTGGAAGACCCATACAGTTGATT